TTTTGGCTCACAACCATATAATGTTGGTAGAACAATAGGATCTACCATCCCCAATTTGACAATATTTATGGGTGGCTAAACCATCAATCCATATGGCTGGTTTATGACATTGCTTGACTGAAATTATCGGGGATGATTGATACACAATCCATGAATTGTTATGAAACCCGTTCTGAACCATCCAATTTGGGAAGGCCATATTTGATTGAAAACATACCCAGCTCACAAGACTGGGTGAACCTTAATGATCGGATTTAATTGAATAACTGCATGGTTGATCAAAACAGGGTGAACGGCTTAAGACTTTGGTTCGCTGTGAGACGCCATTGAAGGGATATCGCCACCTGGTGTTTATTTTGGTTTATTGTGGGGTATGTGGGGTATATCCAAGGTTGCGGTAGCTACCAACAGACTGAGTTTCATCTGTTGAAAATGAGCGAGGGTTCGGCCCAAGCGACAACTTTGAGGATATGTTCGGAATTGGTTTTGTAGTGTGCACTTCGGGTAACCTCCAAATCAATCTGCCATTCCATTTGATGCTTCACCTTTGTTATGCCTTGGAATGGGTCAACGCTGACCAGTTTGGGGGTTTCGGAGCTAGACTCGACTGGTGTTTGCAACCTCAATAGGTTTCACTCAGTTTCTTGATAAAACTGAGACACCGTCAGTATTTGTGACCGTCATGTAATTCTTGAACAATTTTTGTATGAGCTGCACATAAATGAATGAACCACTTACGAAGTCTTTTATGATCCAACAGAAATACTGGTTGCTTTAACAGTTGCTTTATGTTGCTTCAACATGCGTTAAGCCTCTTGGTTAATTATGGTTGTTAAGGGATTTAACAGACATAGCCCCTACCTTAAAAAATAATCCAGGTGGACCTTTGGTTATCCAATTTAGTTTTTCGATTAATTTTGATTTGGTTGTTTTTTTCGAGAACTCTATTGTTCAAGGATTAATTTAAGTTAGGGGTACCCAAAATAATTTAGTCTGAATGCTTGAGAATGAGAGTGGGCCACCTCGAATTAATTTGGCAATGTTTCGTCAAACAGCTCATGTCAGCTCAACCAAACTTGGATTATTAATGACACTAAATCTAACTGGGTGGCATTTACAAGTAAGAAGATGCGTTTGGAACAGAATCTTATTGATTGTGCGCAATGAGAATTGAAAAAACAGAAAAAAATCCTCACGAACAAATACACACCCAATCTATTTCTTTTTGCGCCAACAAAGTTTTTCCTTTTTCCCAGCTCGCGTGGCCACGCGTAAAATTGATTTTGGGGGTGGGTGTACTAGTACAGGACCCAGTGATTGTAATGACACTAAATCTAACTGGGTGGCATTTACAAGTAAGAAGATGCGTTTGGAACAGAATCTTTTTGATTGTGTGCAATGAGAATTGAAGACCCATTTAAAATTATCGCGAATAAATAAACACGCAATCCACTTCTTTTTGCGCCAACAAAGTCTTTCCCTTTTTCCAGCTTGGGTGGCCACGCGTAAAATTAATTTGGGGGTGGGTGTACTGGTTTGGGGCCCCATGGTTTGAATCCGAAGAGACTGCCTTAATTTCTTGCATGCGTATGGGCTTGGCTGGCCTCATTGGGGGCCATATGTTCCTGAAACTTTGGATACCTTCACCCCTACCTCGAATAATTTAGCTAACTAACCACACCCCAATTAATTAGAAGAAATTATTTGGGGTCCCCTTAACCCAAGAAGAAATGGTAGAACCCCCACTCTTGAATAATTTTGTCTGAAGTTAATTTAGTTGGTGGGAAGAGAACCATTTTTTACATCTAGGTGGGGGGAAAGTGCCGCCGAACAAATTAATAGAGGTACCTTGAAGAAGTAGGGACCCTTGGACTAATACTTTTATTAATGTAGGTGGGGGACCACTCTGGGGACCCTTAAGGTAGGGGTTATGGATTAACAATGCCCAGGCTTTTGGCATCGCAGTATCACATTTTGTCCAATAAATCAAACGAAATGACTTTTTTTTTGTTGACAAAACGTATTTTTTTCAGGATTTCACGATGTTTCCCCATATTTTTCATATTATTTTTCTGTGTCCCGCAGTTTTCGATCTAAACAACGATGGTTTTGGTTTCCATGTTTTTCCCAGAGTTTTCCTATCTTTTTCCACCGTTTTCGACTCGATCGACTCGGATCGCCAGGTCACCGGTACCTTGAGCGACCAGCGCTCGAGGTTTCTGGGCGCCAAGGCGGTGAGGCTTCACAAGGCGCCAAGTTGGAGAAGAATCTGTGGAAATCTGTGGGATTTTTGGGGATTTTTATGGATGATTTTTATGGATTTTTTGGGATTTTGATGGAAAGTCGGAGAAGATTTTTGGGGATGTTGGTGATGATTGATGATGATTTATACGGAATTTTATGGATTTATTGGGATTTATAGTGATGTGAATCTGTGGATTTTTAGAGGATGATTTATATGGATTTAGAATGAATTGTGGAACTCCACGGTTCACTTGTGAGACCTTTAGCTTAGTGCCATATGACATATGGATTTATATGGATTATAGTGATGTGAAATCTGTGAACATCTGTAACATCCATATATAAATCCATGAATTTTGAGGGAGTTGACTACGATTTCCCATGCTTGGTGGTTTTGTTAATGGTGCTGGTTCAAGAAATTTCATGAGTGTGGATATTATGGTCTTGAGCAAAAGCACTAAAACCATCTAAAGCCAAATTTGGGATTTAATCATCCAGAATGGTGGTTTGGTAATTGATTCCACAACAAAAACTGGCCAGTTTGAGCTTTCAGACGCAGCAAAAAATGGCAATGGATGATGATTCAACAATGAATGGGATATTTTGGCTTGTAAGCAGCTAAGTTAGTTTATAATGAATTGGACAGCAGGGTTTATGGGGGGTAACTTATATATAGTATTATATAGCATTTTAAAGAGTATTATATAGAGTATTAAATAGAGTATTATATAGAGTATTATATATATATATTATTAAATAGAGTATTAATATAGAGTATTACATAGAGTATTATATAGAGTATTATATAGTATGTATTATATAGCATTATATAGTATGTATTATATAGTATTATATAGTATGTATTATATATAGTATTATACAGTATGTATTATATAGTACTATACAGTATGTATTATATAGTATGTATTATATAGTATTATATAGTATGTATTACATAGTATTATATAGTATGTATTATATAGTATTATATGGATTGGCCGACCGGAATGGATCATTTTTTCTTAATATATTTAATATTATCATATTATCATATATATATATATATGTATATATATATATATATTATATGTATATATATATATGTTATAACCATTTTGGTGAACCCTTCATAGATGTTGGTGATCAATTTTCGTCGCGTAAAGCCACATTGTTGTTGGTAGAATCCAAGTATTGGTTATATATACTTGATATTTGGTGAGTGAATACAGACTTTTCCCTTAACCCCCAATACCATCAAAAGGGTGTGTCTTTACTAGGTGATGCGACAAGATTGCCATTGAAAAATGGGGAAAATTATGATAAGCCATGTTGAAACATGGCGAAAATCAACCATATATAGACTATTTCCCCATTAATTACTATTATACAAAACCTCCATTTATCAGTACCCACTGCCATGCTTGATGACACCGGAGGGTAAATCATTCCATTCATTGTATATCCGTTAATATCCTATGAGTATCAAACCATTAATATCCCGGATCCCATTGATATTCCATTCGTCGAAAAATTCGACAAACCTTGCCGTGCGGTGAGAAACTGCAGGTGGCAGTGCAGGGCATGCGAGGGAACTCAGGGAGGACGGCAGTGGGGGTCGCTGCGCGCCTGGCATCGCTTGGCATTGCTTGGCCATCACAGCCACAAAACCACCAACTGGGTGTGTCTGAAAATGGTGTGATCCAAATAGCCTCTGGTTATTTAACATAGCCATGGTATAGATGGCCCATCTATAGATGGTTTACCTATTAAAAATGGTGGATCTTTGCATGGCTATGTTAGTCATAACCAGGTGGTACTTTAATGACACCCCATTCTGATCCATTTTGGATAAGTAGCTATTAAAGTAGCATAAAGGATGTAGCTATTTGGATGTACACCCCATTTTTTTTTATGTGTCTGAATATGACGACCAAAAAAGGGGCCTTTTTTCAGACAAACCCAGACAAATCGTGTGCTCCATCCATGCCTGGAAACACAGGCGTTGACAATCCCCAGACAGAATCATATGAATTTTGGCCCCGACTTAACCAGCCAACTTTGGTGAGCACAGCTGCAAAGCCCCGCGCCTCCACAGCAAAGCTTAAATAGTTGTTGTATATCGCCAGAATGTATTGATGTACCTGAAAACCATATAAAATATTGGAAGGTACAACCTTTTTGTTCCTGAAAACGGCCAGACATAAAGGCGGACACGTACAGGATACTCCAAAACTGCCATTCAGACAGTTTTCGGTGGTTGACCATGGGACTCTTCAGCCTTTGTCCCATATGTTGAGACAGTCTGGCAGTGCTGCAACTGTCACTCCAACGAGATGTTGAACATAATTTTTTACCCTCTGGCAATGACTCACATTATGGAAAATGACCCATGATTGTTGCTTTCTTTTATGATTTGTCTATCAAAAACAAATGCAATGTTCCAAGGCTGCTATGTCAAAATACAAAAAAAAAGGTAAATCCGTAAATCCAGTAAATCCAATATATTTTCATGGTTCTATATCCCTTTTCATATCGCTGTTGTATCCCAGATTGAGATCTCTCTATCCCAGATTGAGATCTCTCAGATGTATACAGTATATATACACATATAATATTATATATAATTATATATATATATTATACACACATATGTAATATGTACATATATTCCAATATTTCTTTGGTTCTATATCCCATCCAAACTCAAACTCAAATCCCATCCGAAATCCGAAATCCGAACTCCGCACTTCTCCAAGGCCAGCGATGTTAGCCTTGAGCACCAAACCCTGGTTGTCCTACAATTTCCAGGGCAAGAACCACTGCATCTGGGAACTGAAGATCTTTGAAAAAGCCAGGGGCCACCAGAAAACCATAGGAAATCCCAGCAAATTTCCATAGGTTTATGTTGGTTGAAGACAAAACCCTCAAAATTCCATAGGGTATTAATGTTGGTTGAAGACATGGGTGAACTTGGGATTGGGATTTAGTCACATCCAAAAAGAATGAACATGGATTTATAGCTATATTGTAGTAGGATTTCACTCTTCGACTTTTTTGGAGTTTCTATCTACTGAACCTGTTAGATGGGGCTTTAAACCAACAAACGTGACTGGGAGGCCCTCCTTGGAGATGGGAAGCCAAAAAATGGCACACACCGGAGTATCACTTAGAAATGATGGTGTGGATGAAGCATCCCATGTATTCCAACATGAGATTCTAGCCCTCAACCAGTAGTTTTGGGATGTTTTGGGGAGTTCAGAGGCTGTAACTATTCACTGCTGGGTTCGCCCAAAATGGGGAGAGACCATTATATCAAATGGGATATTAGTGACTCAGAACCAAGGAACAATAATTGTTGCCAATAGTTAGTTATTAGATATTATAACATATTATAACTATTGCCAATGAACCAAGGAACATCACAGACATTAGTTACTCAGTTTTTCAGATCTTCACGCGGAATCAGTTTCTTCCTGACTGACCGCTCAACTACCAGATTTCTGGACATCTCAGAACAAGAGGTATCTCCCTTTGGTTGGTCATCTCATGTTTTGTTCATTTTTTTCCCATGTTATCCCACAATGTGGTTAATGACAACCCTGGATTAATAAACCCCAAACGGCTGTTTAATTTCGAGGGTACCATTTAAGTATCAGATAATGACTATTGGAGGAGTACCCCCCCCTAATTAATAAACCATGGTTTATGAATCCGGGGTTGACATTATATCCATTCATATCCCGCACCATAGCTTCAATCAAGTCTACTAATTATCCATTGAATGATTGTGTCCATTAATTACATCCACCTGGAACCCCAAAGAACCAGACATAAATGGTGGTTTCCCCCCAACTATGTGTCATATAGGGATTCTTCACTACCATATCTACCATACAAGGTGGCCCCTCAGTTATCAGTTGATTTATAAATCCTCCGAAAAACCGCTTGAAAATCTTTCGAAATGTATATATACATATACATACATATCTGTGTAAAAACCTACTTGTTATACCAGTTCCTTAGCCCACTGAAAACGCTAAGTAACGTTTAAGGCGTTTGACCCGGGGCGCCCGAGCGTTACCGAGGCACTCCCATGAGCTACGAGCAGTTGGAGTTCGCGTCCTCCTTTGCGTCGGAGCAGTGTCCCGAAGGTCTGCGGAATCTGCGGAGGAAAACTGGCGGGGTTTGTTCCAAGACTTCATGGGCAAAAATCTACCCTCTGGTAATTTAACATAGCTATTGAAAATGGCCATTTATAGTGGATTTTCCCATAAAAATGGTGATTTTCAATAGCTATGTTAAATTACCAGAGGGTATGTGTTGTTTTCAATGATAGTTAATGATAATTTATGATAGCTAATGTTGATAGATAATATTGATACTTAATATGTTAACGATATTATATATATATGGGTTTAGCAGTAAGTCATAGAGGAGATCAGCAACTGAAAGTCGCCATGATTTTTTCAAAGTCATGACCTGATGACTTGGATGTGGAAGGATGTGCTAAGACTGGCAGATGAACATAAGCCTGGAATGAACCCTAAATTAGGGTTCTTTGAAACCTGAATTTCACAGGTTGAAGCCCCCAATCAGAATCAATCAGATATAGATTGTTGCTCAAAAAATACCACCATTTCCCATCAAGTCCATAGATGGTTAAACCACAGATGGTTTGTTCATCCCACATGTACCTATCCAGAATTCTTCATTAAGTCCCCTGTGGTGAACTCGCTTTTTCATGCTTAGCTTTCCACAATTTTCCACATGTTGCTTCAACCCATTTCAACCCACATCTTTGTTGCTGAATCCTCTTTTTTTTGTCAGTATCCCTCGTTTTTTTGATGAAAGATCCTGATTCTATATACCATTGCTGATGAAATTGATATAAATTGATTCTATACACCCTCGTTTTTTTGGATGCAAAAACAGATCCTGATTATAGCTTGTTGATGAAACATCCTGTTTTTTCTTACGTGCTTCAATCCACTCTTTGTGGAACCGTTTTGTGGCATGCGGCATTGCAGGTTTCGTGGCCATCTCGGGCAACACCTTGCGTTCGGTGGCCCGTTTTTGTTGCGGTTATTTCCATGGCAATGAAGAGAATCCCTATGGAAAAACCTAGATTTTGGGCTAGATATGGCCAAAATTGACTTTTTGGGCGGAGAATTTAGGATAGTTGCCCTAGTGGCTAGCGATGATTCAGATTGGATTTTTGTTCATTGTTAAACTATTAGGGTTAGATAGAGTGTGAAGCACCATAAGTTGCTTCGAGATCCATTCCAATTCCTCTTGGTGAATATCGATTTTATTTCCCCTGTAGTATTTTGGGATGTTCGTATGAGGAGTGAATCATGGGTTGGATACTCACCATGAAGATATTTCATCCTCCATAGCTTGAAGGGGATTTTCAGTCTCTGGGGATGGGATCGTTGGTCTCTTTTTGGCAGTGGCATACCAAAAATCACCAGAGTTCACAAAAGATCTGGTTGGTGCTTTGGAAATCTTTGGAACATGAATTTTATTTTCCATTTCATATATGGGTTGTCATCCCAACTCCATTGACGAACTCCATCATTTTTCAAGATGGTTGAGTCACCACCAACCAGTCATCCATATTAAGGGCTGCCGCCCCTGCCGCCGACCCCGGAAAAAAGAAACCGTTGGATTGCAGCAAAACACCATGCCTCTGAAGGACGGAGAAGCCCCAAAATTGCACCTCGAAAATGCCTAGCGTAACTTCTGAAACCCATAGAAAATGATGATGAAATGATGCTTTTGGCTGCTTTTTTTCCCTCTTGCTGCTGCTATGAATTCTGGCTACCTTTTCCGCCTGCTGCTGCAGAAACTTTTGCTGCTGCTGCTGCTGGTCTTCGGATGGGAAAACACCATGGAAAAAATCACCTCCCGGCAGCAAAACACAATGCCTCTGCAGGACGGAGACGCGCCAAAATTGCACCTCGAAAATGCCTAACGTAACTTCTGAAACCCATAGACAATGATGATGAAATGATGCTTTTGGCTGCTTTTTTTCCCTCTTGCTGCTGCTATGAATTTTGGCTACCTTTTACATCCGTCCCCCAAATCGGAACACACCTGGTCCTCGGATGGGAAAACACCATGGAAAAAATCACCTCCCCACAGGGAAACACCATGCCTCTGAAGGACGGAGAAGCTCCAAAATGGCATCCCGAAAATGCCTAACGTAACTTCTGAAACCCATAGAAAAAGATGATGAAATGATGCTTTTGGCTGCTTTTTTTCCCTCTTGCTGCTGCTATGAATTCTGGCTACCTTTTCCGCCTGCTGCTGCAGAAACTTTTGCTGCTGCTGCTGCTGGTCTTCGGATGGGAAAACACCATGGAAAAAATCACCTCCCGGCAGCAAAACACCATGCCTCTGCAGGACGGAGAAGCCCCAAAATTGCACCTCGAAAATGCCTAACGTAACTTCTGAAACCGATAGAAAATGATGCTTTTGGCTCCTTTTTCCTCTTGCTGCTGCTATGACTTTTGGCCACCTTTACATCCGGTCCCCAAATGGGAAAACACCATGGAAAAAATCACCTCCCGGCAGCAAAACACCATGCCTCTGAAGGACGGAGAAGCCCCAAAATTGCACCTCGAAAATGCCTAACGTAACTTCTGAAACAGATAGAAAATGATGCTTTTGGCTCCTTTTTCCTCTTGCTGCTGCTATGACTTTTGGCCACCTTTACATCCGGTCCCCAAATGGGAAAACACCATGGAAAAAATCACCTCCCGGCAGCAAAACACCATGCCTCTGAAGGACGGAGAAGCCCCAAAATTGCACCTCGAAAATGCCTAACGTAACTTCTGAAACCGATAGAAAATGATGCTTTTGGCTCCTTTTTCCTCTTGCTGCTGCTATGACTTTTGGCCACCTTTACATTCGGTCCCCAAATGGGAAAACACCATGGAAAAAATCACCTCCCGGCAGCAAAACACCATGCCTCTGAAGGACAGAGAAGCCCCAAAACTGCACCTCGAAAATGCCTAACGTAACTTATGAAACCGATAGAAAATGATGTAGAAAATGATGCTTTTGGCTCCTTTTTCCTCTTGCTGCTGCTTTGACTTTTGGCCACCTTTACATCCGGTCCCCAAATGGGAAAACACCATGGAAAAAATCAACTCCCGGCAGCAAAACACCATGCCTCTGAAGGACGGAGAAGCCCCAAAATTGCACCTCGAAAATGCCTAAGGTAACTTCTGAAACCGATAGAAAATGATGTAGAAAATGATGCTTTTGGCTCCTTTTTCCTCTTGCTGCTGCTATGACTTTTGGCCGCCTTTACATCCGGCCCCCAAATGGGAAAACACCATGGAAAAAATCACCTCCCGGCAGCAAAAGACCATGCCTCAGAAGGACAGAGAAGCCCCAAAATGAGATCCCGAAAATGCCTAACGTAACTTCTGAAACCGATAGAAAATGATGCTTTTGGCTCCTTTTTCGTCTTGCTGCTGCTATGACTTTTGGCCACCTTTACATCCGGTCCGCAAATGGGAAAACACCATGGAAAAAATCACCTCCCGGCAGCAAAACACCATGCTTCTGAAGGACGGAGAAGCCCCAAAATGAGATCCCGAAAATGCCTAACGTAACTTTTGAAACCGATAGAAAATGATGCTTTTGGCTCCTTTTTCCTCTTGCTGCTGCTATGACTTTGGCCACCTTTACATCCGGTCCCCAAACGGGAAAACACCATGGAAAAAATCACCTCCCGGCAGCAAAACACCATGCCTCTGAAGGACGGAGAAGCCCCAAAATTGCACCTCGAAAATGCCTAACATAACTTCTGAAACCGATAGAAAATGATGCTTTTGGCTCCTTTTTCCTCTTGCTGCTACTATGACTTTTGGCCACCTTTACATCCGGTCCCCAAATGGGAAAACACCATGGAAAAAATCACCTCCCGGCAGCAAAACACCATGCCTCTGAAGGACGGAGAAGCCCCAAAATTGCACCTCGAAAATGCCTAACGTAACTTCTGAAACCGATAGAAAATGATGCTTTTGGCTCCTTTTTCCTCTTGCTGCTGCTATGACTTTTGGCCACCTTTACATCCGGTCCCCAAATGGGAAAACACCATGGAAAAAATCACCTCCCGGCAGCAAAACACCATGCCTCTGAAGGACGGAGAAGCCCCAAAATTGCACCTCGAAAATGCCTAACGTAACTTCTGAAACCGATAGAAAATGATGCTTTTGGCTCCTTTTTCCTCTTGCTGCTGCTATGACTTTGGCCACCTTTACATCCGGTCCCCAAATGGGAAAACACCATGGAAAAAATCACCTCCCGGCAGCAAAACACCATGCCTCTGAAGGACGGAGAAGCCCCAAAATTGCACCTCGAAAATGCCTAACGTAACTTCTGAAACCGATAGAAAATGATGCTTTTGGCTCCTTTTTCCTCTTGCTGCTGCTATGACTTTTGGCCACCTTTACATCCGGTCCCCAAATGGGAAAACACCATGGAAAAAATCACCTCCCGGCAGCAAAACACCATGCCTCTGAAGGACGGAGAAGCCCCAAAATTGCACCTCGAAAATGCCTAACGTAACTTCTGAAACCGATAGAAAATGATGCTTTTGGCTCCTTTTTCCTCTTGCTGCTGCTATGACTTTTGGCCACCTTTACATCCGGTCCCCAAATGGGAAAACACCATGGAAAAAATCACCTCCCGGCAGCAAAACACCATGCCTCTGAAGGACGGAGAAGCCCCAAAATTGCACCTCGAAAATGCCTAACTAACGTAACTTCTGAAACCGATAGAAAATGATGCTTTTGGCTCCTTTTTCCTCTTGCTGCTACTATGACTTTTGGCCGCCTTTACATCCGGCCCCCAAATGGGAAAACACCATGGAAAAAATCACCTCCCGGCAGCAAAACACCATGCCTCTGCAGGACGGAGACGCCCCAAAATTGCACCTCGAAAATGCCTAACGTAACTCCTGAAACCCATAGAAAATGATGATGAATTGATGCTTTTGCTGCTGCTATGAATTCTGGCTACCTTTTCCGCCTGCTGCTGCAGAGGCTTTTGCTGCTGCTGCTGCTGCTGCTGGTCCTCGGATGGGAACACACCATGGAAAAAATCACCTCCCGGCAGCAAAACACCATGCCTCTGAAGGACGGAGAAGCCCCAAAATTGCACCTCGAAAATGCCTAACGTAACTTCTGAAACCGATAGAAAATGATGCTTTTGGCTCCTTTTTCGTCTTGCTGCTGCTATGACTTTTGGCCACCTTTGACCCGGTCCCCAAACGGGAAAACACCATGGAAAAAATCACCTCCCGGCAGCAAAACACCATGCCTCTGAAGGACGGAGAAGCCCCGAAATTGCACCAAGAAAATGCCTAACGTAACTTCTGAAACCGATAGAAAATGATGCTTTTGGCTCCTTTTTCCTCTTGCTGCTACTATGACTTTTGGCCACCTTTACATCCGGTCCCCAAATGGGAAAACACAATGGAAAAAATCACCTTCCGGCAGCAGTAGCAGTAGCAGTAGGAGTAGTAGTAGTAGTAGTAGTAGCAGTAGTAGCAGTAGTAGCAGTAGTAGTAGTAGTCGTCGTAGTAGTCGTAGTAATAGTAGTAGTCGTAGTAGTCGTAGTAGTCGTAGTCGTAGTCAGTAGTAGTAGTAGTAGTAGTAGCTGGCGGTGGCAAACTCTTGTCTTATTCCCTGGCGCGCTCCCCCTGCGCAGCCGGGGTCGGCGGATATAGAACATATAGATTTTTTTTGAAGGCTGCTGGCTACTGGCTGCTGCTGGCTGCTGGCTGCTACCTGCTGCCTGCTGGCTGCTACCTGCTGGCTGCCTGCTGCTGGCTTCGTGCCTTCTGACTGCTGGCCGCTGCCTACTGGCTGGTGGCTACTGGCTGCTGGCTGCTACTGCCACTGGCTCCTGGCTACTGGCTATGTGCATTTCTAGCCCGTTTGAGAGGCTTGCTTAAAAGTAGTAGCAGCGCAATACCTCTTCTTCCCTTACGCGCTCCCCCTTGCGTCGGCCGGGGTCGGCGGATATTGGGAATTTCATGATCCCAACTGACGTTCACAAACTCATATTTTTCAGAGGCGTAGGGCTAAAAACCACCAGAGATTCTTGGAGGCTGACCAAATGGGTTTTCCACTTAAAACGACCATGTCAGCCTCCATGACTCACCACATCTCACCACCTGATGAGCGAAACATGCCATACGACCTTTATGTGAAACATGTTTGCATCTTCACTTGAATTTGCCTAGCGCGTTTTTCCTTGTGATGATGACAGGTGACCAACTCTCGTCAAAATGCTGACAGTACTTATTGTCAGGAAGACTACTGGAGCAGCTATGAAAACACAAGCTGGAATGTATTGAAACCACCAGTGGATGATGATGGCTCAACCACCATCCAGTTGTTTGGGTATGACCGATTTGTTTGGCTCATTGGTCATCAACCCAATTTGGAGCCATGGATATGGTTCCACTAACAATATAAAATCCCCATTTTATACCAGTTTATACATCGACTTATATCGACTTAAGATGACTTGGGTCAATTGTCATCATTTCATAAATATTTCTGTTGCTTTTTCTGTTGGTTTTCCTGATGTTTCTGGTGTTTTTTCCATCAAAACATGTCCACCCTCTGAAGGCATTTTGGCATGCGAGCGCTTGGGCGAGCTATTCAATCACACAGCGCGGAGCCAAGGATTTCCAGCGGTTCAATTAATTGGGAGTTTAGATGATTTTAGTATACCCTCTGGTAATTTAACATAATATATCCCTATGGATCCAAGTACCTGCTTAGGAAGTACTTGGGGTATGATTTAGGGGGTTAAGTACCTTCTCAGGCAGTATTTGGATCCATAGGGTATGGAAAACGGACCATTTATAGATGATGTATCTACTAAACATGGTAATTTTCCATAGCTATGTGAGTTTACCAGAAGGTATATGTTTGGTATTCACCATCTAATTGTCGGGGTACCCAATTTTGACCTATACCCAGATGATTCAATCTTGTCACTTTTCCTAGTGAATTTTATTTGCTCGCATATATTTGGTTGATTTTGGTTTTGGTGGTTTCGATATGTTTTTAATGCTGATTTGTTTGGTTTGGTGTTTTTACCTCAAGATCTCCAGAATTTTCTGGAGCTCTTGATGGGCTGGGCTGGTGTTTCCTTGAAACTCCTAGCCACAACCAGAGATGGGAGCAGGACTGGCAGCACTGGTCACGACCTTTGGCGCAGGCCTGACTTGGACACGACCAAGTCAGCCTTTTGGCCCGTGGTGCAGCCAAGGCCCGTGGTCCAGCCTAGGCCACGCAGCGAACTGCAGCGCATCGAAGCGTTGGAACTGCCATCGATACAATCGACCTGAAGATGAGCCAGCGTGTACCAGCTTTGTTCTCCCTCGCCGAGGTTTTTCAAGCTTTGCTCCGAGCACGGACCAGCTGCAGATTTGATTTACTCTGAGTGTCAATGTTTACCTGGCTTTGATCTTTGCTTACGATCTTTGCTGACAATCATCAGATTGGATTAGCTCTGAGTGTCAATGTTTACCTGGCTTCGATCTTTGCTGACCATTGTCAGATTGGATTAGCTCATTAGTTTACATACGTTTACATAGCTATACATAAGTAAGAATTCCATATAATGATCATCGAAAATTCATGTTTGGCTGTTTTTGTTTCAACCCTTGAAAGCAAAAAAGGAAAATTCGGCCGAAAGAAATCAGAAACAATTTATTACACATATTATAACCACCATGAAGCAGAGCAAAGATCAATCAAGTCTACTGCTTCAACTGGCAGAACCTAAAAGGTGGGGCCCCGAACCCCGTACAGCTTGGTGAACGCGGGCTTGGGAATATAAGAGGATAATACATGATACAGAATCCCATCAACTATAGTTAACTATAATTAACCTAGAACAATAGTAACCTGGTTTATTTCAACCCCATCAACATGGAAAAAAAACAGATATAGAATTATAGTTGACTACAACCAATATCATGGGGTTATCTAAACCACCATGGCTCATAACCCCATATATCAAACATACAACCGCATGATATTATAAAGTTCATCGTTCACATAGAACTATAGTAACATGGTTTGTTTCAACCCCATCAACATGAAAAAAACAACATGATATAGAATTATAGTTGACTACAAACAATATCATGGGGTTATCTAAACCACCATGGCTCATAACCCCATATATCAAAGGAGGGCTAATTATTTTAGGATTTTTTTTTTGATCAGGTTTAGGAATTATTTTTGGATTCCTGCTTCTCTGCTTTTCCTGCTTTTCCTGCTTCTCTGCTTTCCTGCTTTTCCTGCTTTTCCTGCTTCTCTGCTTTTCTGCTTTTTTGCTTTTCTGCTTCTCCTGCTTCTCGCCTTTTCTGCTTTTTTGCTGCTTCTCCTGCTTCTTGCTTCTCTGCTTTTCTGCTGCTTTTCTGTTTTTCCTGTTTCTTTGCTTCTCTGCTTTTCCTGCTTTTCCTGCTTCTCTGCTTTTCTGCTTTTCCTGCTTCTTTGCCTTTCTGCTGTTTTGCTTTTGTGCGTTTCCTGTTTCTTTGCTTCTCTGCTTCTTTGCTTCTCTGCTTTTTTGCTTCTCTGCTTTTTTTTGCTTTGCCTGCTTTAAATACTTGATTTTCATGTAAGATGCATTTTGCACAGTATTTACATCCCTGAGTATCACATGACCAACCTTCTCTTGAAAACTAGCAACGTAACATGTGAGAAGAGGTGCTTGCATTCTGCTTTGGGGGGAGGCGCTGCGCCCTCCCCCCAATCCCCCCCTCCCGCTTTTTTTTATTTAAACTTAAACCCAAGTTACATTAGTTGGTTTTTGCGAACTAACCTTCTCTGGAAAGCTGACAGGATTACATGTGATAGATAGATAGATAGATAGATAGACAGACAGACAGATAGATAGATAGATAGCTGGATAGATAGATAGCTTGGTAGATAGATAGCTAGATAGATAGATAGCCAGCTAGAGAGATAGATAGCTAGAGAGATAGATAGCTAGATACCTGGATAGATAGATGGCTAGATAGATAGCTAGATAGATAGATAGCTAGATAGATAGCTAGCTAGATAGATAAAGAGGTAGCTAGATAGATAGCTAGATAGATAGATAGATAGCTAAATAGATAGGCAGATAGTTAGCCAGATAGATAGATAGCTAGATAGATAGCTCGTTAGCTAGATAGCTGGATAGACAGCTGGATGGCTAAATAGATAGATAGCTAGATAGATAGAAAGCTAGATAGCTACATACCTAAATAGATAGTTAGCTAGATAGCTCGATAGCTAGATAGCTGGATAGACAGCTGGATGGCTAGATAGATAGATAGCTAGATAGATAGAAAGCTAGATAGCTAGATAGCTAGATAGATAGTTAGCTAGATAGCTAGATAGGTAGATAGATAGCTAGCAAGATAGCTAGATAGGTAGATAGATATAGATAGATAGATAACTTGCTAGATAGATAGCTAGCTTGCTAGATAGATAGCTAGCTAGATAGCTAGATAGCTAGCTAGCTGGATAGATAGCTAGCGCCCTCCCTCAATCCCCCCCACCCGCTTTTTATCTAATCCCAAGCTTCCGCATCTGTAAATATTTGGGTGAACATGCTCACATGTAGAACATCCCATGCAAAATGGAAGGTGAACATGCCAAAATGTGGCAAATACCATACAAAATGGAAGGTGAACATGCCCACATGTAGGAAATCCCATGCAAAATGGAAGGTGAACATGCCAAAATGTGGCAAATACCATACAAAATGGAAGGTGAACATGCCCACATGTAGTAAATCCCATGCAAAATGGAAGGTGAACATGCCCAAATGTGGCAAATACCATACAAAATGACAAATTCAAGTTCCAAACCGTTGCAAACACTAGGCAAATGGTACCAGCCAAGAAATCCAAAAAAAAATCCCAAACCTGCTGAAAAAAAAATCCTAAAACTATTTCACACCCTATATCAAACATACAACCGCATGATATTATAAAGTTCATCGTTCACATAGAACTATAGTAACATGGTTTGTTTCAACCCCATCAACATGATTTACACAACATGACAAATACGTACCCTCTGGTTATTTAACATAGCTATGGAAAATCACAATTTTTAGTAGGTCAACCATATATAAATGGGCCATTTTCCATGGCTATGTTAAATAACCAGAGGGTAATAATACTTAAGTATAGACTAGGGCTTTATTTGCCAACACCAAAAGCCACGTCCTGGGATTCCTTCGGCGGCGAAAGGTCATGAATTTGTCTTACACACCGCGTCGCTTCGTGCCGTTGCCCCCGGCTGTGTTGCCGCCCCCGGGGCAGCCCACCACGGATCCCATCATGCCCGGAGACCTGGATATGGTTGATGGATGATGATTTTAGGGATTTTGTCCGGATTTTTGTGGGGTTCTATGTTCTTTATATGGTTTTTATGGTGGTTTTCTATGTTTTTCCTATATTTTCCTATTTTTTGTTTTCAATGGTTGTTGGCTAAAAAGAAACCAGACATTTCTGATGTTTCTGCGATGTTTCATGGTTCCATGAGGTTCGAAAGTAAAGGTGTCTATGATGTTTCTCTGGTGGATTTCTTCGTCTTCGGGGCCTGCAGTGGATAGATGTCCTTTCTTCAAGCCTTGGGTGATTTCCGGACTCAAAAAGGGATGGATCCCACGGATGAACAATGGATAGACCCATGTCATGGCTTGGATATGGCGAAGATCTAGCGATTGCAGAGGAAAAAGGCCGATGATTGCCCACTGGAGTCGGGCTGGATGTTACTCATATTTTAGACAAAGGCAAAATGTGTGGTAAGACCATGTCAGACCCACAGGTGGTGACACTTATGAAGGATATAGTTGATATTGGCCCATGGCTCAGACTTTTTGACCAAGATCGGCCCCTTCGGAATTCTTTTCTAAGCCAAAGGCCAAAGTCATATATGAAGTTGGTAGACTTATGAAAGGTATCTCTATATAATCATAATATCTACAATTGTCAGCAATTATTCTACAATTATCCATAGTTAATTATGTATATCTATATATATTATATCACATTATATGACATGTAGATGCAGATAATTACATGATATATTCTTAATGATTATACATGATAATTCTACATTTATCTATAACTAGTGTTATCTCCATACATAAGCATCATATTCATGTATAATGATGATTATGTCATAAACATATACCTATAATTATATATATATTCATAAACACATCTATTTTCTATATAAATAAACATCTATGATTCTGCCATCCGTGAATTTAGGCTGGCGGTGCTAGAGGCAGACCACAACGCCTACAACGAGGCCTGAAAATTGATGAAACATGGGAAAGCAAGAAAACGTGTTGCGAATCTTGTTGCATTTTGTTGCCAAATCATGGGACGATGAGGATTCAAGGAAGAAGAAAACGATGACTCCTCATTTGTATGGTTTTTTGGGGGTCAGAATATGGCTTTAAGCAACTGACATGTGGATCAAAATGAAGTTAACTTGGAGTTTACCAGTCACAGTTTAAGCATCATTAAAAAGGTATGTAAATGCATCAACTTCACCATATATTTCATGGCCTGTGCAGATATCCTTTTTTTTCCCCACCACGTTTTTTTTGCCCAAAACGATGACATGGCACTTCCCAAAATGACAGAAAAGTCCTAGTAAAATCAGGGTGAATCCCTGCATTTCAATGGCCAATTTCAGTTCCGTCGGGTGGTTGTGCACAGGAACTGGGGATCCCAGTTGCCGGAGCTGGCAGGTGTTTTTGGAAAGTTCGGCCTGTTCGGTGCCGACTGAACTGACTCAAACATGATACCCTCTGGTAAACGTTTACATAACTATTGAGAATCACCATTTTTAATGGGTAAATCCACTATAAATGGTCATTTTCAATAGCTATGTTAGTTTACCGGTAAACTAACATAACTATTGAAAGATCCACCATTTTTAATGGGTAAATCCACTATAAATGGTCATTTTCAATAGCTATGTTAGTTTACCGGTAAACTAACATAACTATTGAAAGATCCACCATTTTTAATGGGTAAATCCACTATAAATGGTCATTTTCAATAGCTATGTAACAAATTACCAGAGGGTAATTACAACTGAAACAGAGTCAAGGTGCGCACGCCAAATTCTATGGAGGTTTAACCCTGACGAGCCAGGAAACGAAGCGTGAGATTCGAGCGGCCTTGAAGAAGATTCGTCGAGCCCCGAGATGGCTTCGATGGCTTCGATGGTCCAATGGCTTCCCCGGTTTTTTTCACCAAAACGGGGAGAGATGGGGAGTTTTCAACCTTATTGAAAATGGCCATTTATAGTGGATTTTCCCATTAAAAATGGTGATTTTCAATAGCTATGTTAAATTACCAGAGGGTAACAGTCGGATGTCAAGTTGGGATTTGAAACAACCAACTTTGATGATATGAACTGGAGGGATACACCCAATTTTTTTTGAGTCAAGGGGAAACGTGAGGTTTTAGAGGATGAAATTTTGGGCCGGGCTGGGGAAGAAACCATACCCAGGCTTGACCAAGACCGTGGAAGATGAGTTGGATGACGTGAAGGAGCGGACACGGGTGGGACATGTCGGATTCAGCGCTCCGTAAAGCTGGGAAAACCCTGATTTTGTCAGTTGAAAATCAGTGAATAGTTCTGATTTAGATTGATTTACTATGTAGAGATTCTGTTCGAACTCCAGATGGTGATCTTTCAACTTCAATGTTGGATATCCGGAGGATCAATTCTGCATATAGAAGGTGGTGGCCCACTTTGATCCCCCACTTCTGGACGAACCCACATATCACAAATGCAGCATCATATGTTACTGTAATTAGAATTAAGCCATTATGTTGCGGGATATTTCATGCTATAATCGGGATATTTCATGCTATAATACATATATGTATATATATATATCGCATTATATCATAATAATCATAGCTGGTAAACATCCCCTTTGCCAAATTTGCTGGCCAAAGCCCATGATGCTCCAACCTATTATAGGCATATGATAGCCACAGGGATGAACATGATATTTTCATCCAATCGATTTGCCCAGCTCCTTCCCATGTTCTGCTGTCGTTGCTTAAATCCCAGTGATCCAACAAAAAACGGACAAACTTATCTCAGAATCCTGTATTGTTGGCTAATGTTGGCTAGATATTCCAGCATATATAATGCATATATATATATATATATATTTGCAGTACCCCAGGCTCCATGGTGCTGGATTATGAATCCCAACATTTACCCCCCAAAATGACACAGTTTTGCGGGTAAATATGCCATAACATGAAGCATCTATTCCCATGGGTATTTCCCATGAAATCTCTTGATTTTATATATACCATTTTGGATGAAAAACCAGGATGAAGAGGATGAAGAAGACCTGCCGGAAGCACAGGCGGCGCTGTCATGTGGTTGTACAACCTGGTTATTTTAACATATACCAAAACATGGAATATATATATGTATATATATATATATATATATGTATAAAATATACATATACACAGCATTATTTACGTGGCATATTAACACAAGACATGGGAATATCATGGAATATCTATTAGAAAAATGGCAATATGAAATTGCTCCATGTATTCACGAATCTCCATGCAACCCATGGAATCCATGCCGACCAAGGGGGTTTTGAAGCGATGCACATGGCTTCGGTTTCAAATCACCTGGTTGGTGCTTTCAAACCACCATTCTGGCAACGGAAATTGCAATTTTGCTAGTTTGCTACTTAACAAAAGTTTAAACCGCCAGGTTCTTTTCCGGTTAAATCACATGTTTTTGCCAGAAGATATTCTTTTTGTGTGGTCAGACATGTGTACCGTCCAACCCGGACGTTGCTCCACACTCACAAACAACGTCATCATCATCATCATCATCATCATAATCATCATCATCATCATCATCACCATCACCATCACCACCACCATCACCATCACCATCACCATCACCCCCTATCAACTTATCAAATATACATCTAGAATTCGAAAGTCCACCGACATAGCATGTCCAAAATACTCAAACCTTTCCGCAATTCCGGCGCGGAGAAACGTCAGGGTTGCAGCGAACATGTTAAAACCGCCTTGTTCTTTTCCAGTCAAATCACAAACCACTTTTTCTGCTAGTTAAAACATTTTAACCCATGTTAACACCACCATTTTGCTAGTTGTTTCCAGTGAAATCACATGGTTTTTGAGTTTTTGGTCATAAGATCTTCTTTTTCTGTGGTCAAACATCCCATCTTTATCATCCCCACCCCCTCAACCCCCTGTTCACAGCATGGTTTTTCCTAGGGGGTAGGGATTTTTTATCCATTTCTGAGGACCAGGTGGCCAGTTTGACTCCGCAGGTCGGTACCTTCAAGGCCGGCGAAGGGAAGTGGGGCTCCTGCGTGCGCATTGCCCGGGAGACTCAGATGGGCGAGGTTCGGGTGATGGAAGAATCAGATGGGGATTTTTTGACAAATATCATGGGAAGATATGGGAAGAATATAAGATAATATGAGATCATATAAGATAATATAAGATAATATAAGATAATATAAGATAATATAAGATAATATAAGATAATATAAGATAATATGAGATAATATAAGATAATATAAGTATACAGGGAATATCATGGATTCTCGTGGATTATAATGGTTACTGATGCTTCCATGTCATGGATATGTATATATATATATATATAGAACAAGCTATATGGGAATTACTTAGGTCTTCAAAAGTCCTTTTCATCCTGGCCAAGTCAGAAATGGTATGAACATGTATGAAATGCTACATGAAACCAAGAGATTTTAAGAACAAAAAAGGGGGGAAGGTTTGCGCCCTATCATGGCAATATCATGGCAATATCATGGCAATTATATATGTTTATTATTTATCTGGTTGGTGGTTTGGAACATTTTTTTATTTTTCCATATATTGGGAATCATGATCCCAACTGATTAATATTTTTCAGAGGGGTTGAAACCACCAACCAGTTATTTTTTCTAAGTCATGGGGGATCCTCAAGTCACCATGGGTTTCAGTACGAAGTCCTTTTCGTCGTTTCTGACGACTGGATGATGCAAGGGGGTACCACCAGTTAGGAAACTTCCATATGGGTATCTATATAATTAGGGAAACCCAGTGCCATAAACATACCACGGGGGGGCGGTTTTTTCATTCCACCCATAAACACCACGTGATTTCGGGGATGGTTTATTACTAGGTTTTCACAATACATGATTCTTACACGTATGGTATGGGGATCCTCAGATGTATAGATCATGTATGGGGATTTGTTATTGAAAATGATTACCATCTGGTCAGTTAACCTAGAACCTGAAAATAACCAATTTTTTAGTGGATATCTGCCAGGGTCTATGTGAATCTATTGGAGGGTAAAACTTCAACTTCTGTGTATTGATCTGGGATTTGACTGGTCGCGGGATCACTTAAAAAACCGACTGATTTGGATCCCGAATCCAGTGTGAAAAACGTGTCGTGTTTATCATGTTCAGCAAGTTCGTAATGTTGATGATGTTGCCCTCTGGTAACCATAGAAAAAGCCATTGAACATCACCACTTTAATAGGAACATCAAGTTCGTAATGTTCATATTTAATTTTAACATCATCAACATCACGAACATACTCAACACAACATCATCGACATCATCGACATCATCGACATCATCGACATCCACCTCCTCCTGCTCATCACCATCATCATCATCATCATCATCATCATCATCCTCATCCTCATCCTCATCCTCATCCTCATCGTCATCATCGTCATCAAAACAATGAGAACAGCAAGATGAACAACCCTAAAGGTGTAGTAGGTTGTCTTCAAGTAAATGAAACAAAATGAACAACCTTAAAGGTGTAGTAGGTTGTCTTAAAGTAAATGCAACAAAATGAACACCCTAAAAGTGTAGAAGATTGTCTTAAAGTAAATGCAACAAAATGAAAACCCTAGAGGTGTAGTAGGTTGTCTCAAAGTAAATGCAACAAAATGAAAACCCAGCAGGTGCAGCAGCCCGTCTTAAAGTAAGTGCAACAAGATGAGAACCCTAAAGGTGTATTAGCCCGCTTTAAAGTGTGTGCAGTGCAATACCTGAAGGTGAAATGGTCGTGGTTTCAAGTCAGCAATGGTTGTAGAAATTTCTGGGAGTGTGACTATGTGGGATTGGCTCCAAATTATGTGTAACAATGGACAGATGATGGGACTATCCAGAAATTCGGATATTTAACAAAAAAAGGTGTTGTTTACTAATCATAGTGGTGATATGAAGGCTCTATATGTAATGCGATATGTACCTGTGATAAGATCGCCCAGTAATAGGGGATTCACATATATGAGTTTCTAGACCAGCGGAGCACCATTTTCGACTAAAACGGAATTGGCTCTGTCTGAAAATAGGGTCCCCCCAAATCGTTTTGCCACTAGAATGCCACACTTTGCGGGTTAATCCCGATTTTCAGACAGACACTCAAGAATCTTATCAGGTTGGATATACAAATTACATACCATAAGTTGTTCCATGTTTTTCCCTTAAAATTGTGGTTATCAATAAATCCCCATGATCTTTATATCCCATACCTCCCCATGTCTCATCATATCCTCATGTCCGCCAGTTCAGCCAAGGTGAATCCATCCAACCTGACACCTGTCTTCAAATTGGATTTGGATATCGATGAGGCACCGCTGGCGCGGACGTTGACACACTTCCTAAACGGGAGAAAAGGATGCCAACAAACGATTCCGATTTCTAGAACCCAGATGAAAACAAAACTCTGAGATATCATCCCTAGTGACAGTTAGTATAAAACAGTGATATACAGATACCCTCTGGTATATTAACATAGACCCTGATAGGGGTTGGAAGAGTAGTTTCCATTAAAAATTGGTGATTTTCAGGGTCTATGTTAATTTACCAGGGGGTATACATCACTAACCATACAAAAAACTGTGCTGAGATTTCTGTTTAAAACATGCTGGATCCCATCCTATCATCCCAATGTCCGGTGATGGATGGAAAATGCCCAAAATCCATGGTGTTTTTTTTTTTTTTCAGAAGCTGGGAAACTCATCTGATTTATGGTGGATTATCAATAAATCACCTGGCTTGCTGGGAAACTCATCATTTTTCAAAATCATCTATTTATGGTGGATTTTCCATGGATTTTCCAGCAAGCCAGGTTTGTTTATTTTGTTGATTGGAGGATATTCATGAATGATTTAATCAACAAACATGTGGCTGTCTGTTTTGGGACACTTGGACTTGGATTTCGGGATCTGAAATGATCTATAAAAAAAAAAACTGGGGATTTTCCAGACATATAAATCCATATTTTTATCCATATAAATCCATATAAATCCATTTTTATCCATATTTTTATCCATATCTGTGCTTCCAGACTTGCTAACCCAAAAATGGTGCTAACCAGCGATCCAGCGCCATCAAAAAAGCGTTCCAGGCGGCGCTCTGTTTGACGGTGTGCTATTTCTCGCAGTTGGCCAACCAGTTTCTCGCAGAAAGTTGGAGCTGGTGGGCACTAGGTCAACCTTGGATGGGTAGAAACCAATCCTTTAATCTTGTGCTATCAATGGGAATATCCACTAAAAATAGCTAAAAATTGTTTTTTTTGGCCAGGTATCTAAGATTGGCAATGTTCAGGGAACTGGAATGATGGTAAATTATTAAGGAGAATCATCCCCAAATGACCTCAATGTGGCTAAAACACTGCCATAAACCATAATAAACCATGCCCCAAAGCACCATAAATAGGTTGTATATATGGTATAAACCATCCAACATGGGTGGTTTATTGTTATTGTTTTACCCACATTATTGCAAATGAGTGAATTGTACTTTACCCAGATCGGATAGCAAGTTGATGACCGAAGAAATCAGGATTGTGGATAGATTAGACGAATTCTGGCGATCTCACGCTATAGATGATGATAAGATACCCTCTGGTAAACTAACATAGCTATGGAAAATGGCCCGTTTATAGATGGTTTACCTATATTTAAAATGGTGATTTTCTATGGCAAACTGTTAGTCATAAATGTCATAACCAGATGGTAATTGCCATGATATTGCCATGATATTCCCACTATATTCCATAGCTATGTTAAATTACCCAAGGGTAAATGATCCACAGATCCCCACTTTTCTTTTCGGCTTGTGAATTTTCATGGTGAGGTTTCGGGACACCTAAAGCCCATTGGAGGTGGAATCGAATCAACAAGAATTAAGAGGGAATCACACAGATCCAATTAGACCAACAAAGAGAGGATTGGTACTGAATCAAACTGTGGAGATTACTCAACAAAAGAAAATCTTAGAGGGTGCCACCCAAATTGATCTTCAGCAAATCAAAGTCGTCAAAGTTGAAACTTGGGCTTAGGCGGCTTAGGGGTGGCATTTGTTGGTATTCTGGTCTCCAACAGAAAGAATCAAACCTCTTACTAGGCCCCGACATTGGAAACACAGCGCCTGACATCGAGGCCTTGTCTCGTGGTGGGCACCGTGTACAACATGACGTGGGGGACCAGCGTGTTTCAACGGGCGGAGTGCTCAAAAGGACTGGTAAAGGTGCTGTTTTTGCAGGTGTAGGCTACAGTAATCATTGAACCAATTTGGTACACTTTGTAGGAAGGTATTATCATCATGGCAGTTGTTTCGGGTTGGGAGAAATCATGCAACTACATATGGAGGTTTCCTATGTTGGAGCTTCCCCAAATCAGAAACGACCATGACTTAGCATCGAAACTCCTGGTTTTGGTTGGGGATCCCCCATTTTACGAAACCATGATATGGAGAGTTGAGATACCCTCCGGTAAATTAACATAACTATGGAAAATCACTTTTTTTTATGGGAAAATCCACTATAAATGGCCATTTTCAATAGCTATGTTAGTTTACCAGAGGGTATATCCCATTAATATCCCATTGAATCACTATAAAGTCCCATTAAATCATTATAAAAGTGGATTTTCCCATATAAAATGGTGATTTTCCATAGCTATGTTAAATTACCAGAGGGTATATCATCCTTTTTTGGTGCCGTTTCCACCACCGGGTTTGGCTGTCTTTTTCGTGCCGCCAGGCTGTATCCCAGACATGCGCCAAAGGCAACCATCAAGACCTACATGTACGATGAGCCACTCGGCGGTCGAAGGGTTCAACAAGATTTCTTGGGATTTCATATGGATTTCATATTAGAGGATGGATATGATGTGGTGAAGGGTAGTTTAATACTTTTTCATTTTTGTCTAGAAATGAGAATATATCTATATATATAATTATATAATTATATATATAATTATATAATTATATATATAATTATATAATTATATATATATAATTATATATATATAATTATATATATATACCTGGAAAACCATATAAAGACAACTGTTTCTGTCCATATGGGTTTGGACATTTTTTTTGGTCCGTTACGTTTTTTTTCTCCAAATACTGCCATGTCCGGCTGCAATCTTGGATTCGTCGGACTGATTCTGACAGGTCAATAGGTTCCCACCTAGGCAGTTTGTTGGGTCAGTATGTTGAAATATGGTTCCTGATTTGTTTCATGATGTTGAAGATACATACTCCTATTTTATGGCTACCCTCTGGTGAACTAACATAGCAATGGAAAGATCCACCATGCTATTAATGGGAAAACTCACTATTTCTATGGCCATTTTCCATTGCTTTTTGTATGTTCACCAGAGGCTACACCCAAATTTTCTGGCAAATCTCAGAGGATTTGTGGCCAGGTGACTGAGTACGGAGGATGGGAAGCAAAAAAACATGTCCATTCGGGTTCCCAGGTGCAAATAACTCCAATAACTATGGTTTATGGTAGATATAACGAACTAGTTAATGTGGGTTATAATGGTTCCCATATAATGATAAATCAATGGGAGATCTTCAGGATCCTAAAATGGAGGTACGTAAACGTACCATATAAGACCATATTTTGTGGGGATATTCCCTGAAAAATATGCCTTATATAGACCAGTGAATATATATAGTTCCCAGGTATATATAATTTCAATTAATTTCATATATGATTATATGTGTATGAGTTATGAGAGATGAACTTTTTTTTTTCAAAAGCAACCACATCTTTCTTGCAGGGTATCCAAGATTGCCCCATGCTGATCGAAGGTAATTGATGATCGAAGGTGGAATCCGACGCTGTATAGATTGGCCCACAACTATCCTCACAGGGGTGCTCCAACCATCTACATGATAGCATATGATAGCCACAAGGAGGGGAATCTGTGAATTTACCTTTATAACCTTTTATATTTATGCAATTTACAACCCTTTTACCTGGGGTGTTGGGTACAACCAATGATGTTTGACTTTGAAATTTTCAGGAGTTGGTCCAGGAGAGAGACCGATTTCCTGCAACTCGTTGTGTCTGAAAATGAGGTATACCATCGAAATGGCCATTACTAGGAGCAATGATCATTCACCAGTTGATTTTGGCGCTTTTCCAAACATTCTCCAAGTCTTTACCTCCCAAAAAATCAACAAATGGGAAGTAATTAACCCATTTATACATGATTCCCTGGTAAAATAGGGATATAATTGTCCCAACATTTGTCACCGGCTACCGAGGCGCTATCATTTGCAGCTGATCCACTCGACGCCTTTGGATGTCCGGAACTTGACTGCTGGGTACTTTGTGATGGTCATCCCCTGATAGATTGATTACATTTATAGATATCGGCTATATAATAGTGATACATGAGCGATTAATGATAATATGCTATATAATGGGGGATATATTGGCTGATTTATATGGATTTTATGCTATAATAGGGATATATTGGCTGATTTAAAATCAGATTTTATGTGGCAATCTGATTTTAGATGAATTAGGGGCTAATTCAAAAATGGCGCTACAGTTTTCTGGAATCCCATGTTCCATCGTAACCTGACGATGTCACACATGGCTGGGTGTCGATCTGAAACCGTCCATTTTGCTGGACAGATTGGATAAACTAACATAACATATCTATGGAAAGATCCACCATGTTTAATGGGTAAATCAACTATAACTATTTTGAGCCAAGTTGGATACTTTTTTTTTATACCATGACAGTGAAGAGCCATCATTTGCCATAGGAAAATCATCCTTCTCAATGGATTTCTTAAGGGGGCAGCAAGCCATGGCAGCAACAACTGGAAGGTAGGTGAAGATCCCAGTTCGTTCTTCTGCTTCACTGATTGGTGACACGATTGGTGGAAGACCAGGTGGTACTGGCCGATCCAAAAGCTTGGGGATATGATGCCACTCAGCCACAGGCAGGAAAGCCAACAGAACCATGCACAGACTCAACAATAATGTGAGGCATTTTTCCTACAGTTATGGCCTTTTACCAGTTACAAGTACTTATAACCCCATTTATAGAATGTATAATCCCATTTATAACCAGTTATAACTAATAAATGGCCTTAACTGTATATACCTATCCTAACTGGTTGCTGTAGGATATCACGGATAAAACTTCTTAGTGGAACCTTCCCGCCCAAACAACCCATTGTCGTTGACCGTCCCGAAAAGTGTTCGACACTGCACAGGATGTGCCTTTGTGCCTCTTCCCCTTCGAAGGTTCGATCCGACTCCTCGACTGTTTTTTTGCGCCTGATGGATGAATCAGAGACAAAGTCTATGTCTGGTGAGTTCACATATATCAGTGGGCTGCATTTAAGATGATCAAAATTATTCAAAATTGATGTTCACCAGTGACTTGGTGATTAGTTCAAATTTTGAACAGAGGGGAACTTGGGCCAAGACGAAGTCCTTTCACTTTTGATACCTGGCAATCGCGTGTTCGAATTCACACCGCGGTCCTGATGAGTTCGGGATTTTTGAGAAGAGCGATTCGGGGGCAATTTAAAAAGTCAGACGCTGGGACCCATGATTTTTGGGATATATCTGGTCATTCTTTGTTTTTGGAACTTATTGTTTTTTGGTACCCTAAAAATACCGGTTTGTGGTTTGGAACATGAATTTTATTTTTTCATATATTGGGCAGAATCAGGCCCCAAGTGACGAACTCATCTTTTTTTATCTTTTTTTTCAGAGGGGTAGGTATACCACCAATCAGAATAGAACCCGAATGACAAGCGCAGCAAGCTATAGAACTGGGAGTTGACCTTGGGTTGATAGGTCGTTTGCTGGCGAGCGTGGGGAAGAACTTGCGCATCTACGAGCTGGGAAAGCGAAAGTTGTTTCTTGGCCACGGGACAGATGACAATGATAGATTAGCCTCTGGTAAACTAACATCGCCAGCTGTATAAACCATTTGTATCCATTTGTAGTGGGTAAATCAACTATTTCTATGGCCATTTTCAATAGGTATGTTGAATTACCGGAGGGTATACTATAATGGAGTATTTTTTTTAGCTACAAGTGAGGAAATGATGGTTGGGGAATGGTAGGTGAAACAGTTTTTTTTGCCCTTCTGATTTATATACTGCAACTGGAGAAATATTGTATCCTATGTCTCTGTATACTAGATTTGTGGTGAGGGAGAGGTACAGCCAGCAGGCCAAAATCCTAAAATCACTGGGCTCCAGTTTCGAAAAGGGCGAGAATCCCATTTGCTCCATGAATCGGGTAAGATCTGCGGCAACATTTACCCCAATATACCGTCTGAACTAACATAGGTATGGAAAATCATTCTTTCTAGTAGGTAAATAATCTATACATTGGCAATTTTCTATAGCTATGTCGGTTTACTGGCTACATTTTCTACAATGTGAGGCCCCCGTTCGATAGCGTTCAGTTGGTGAACATAACTCCAATAACTATGGTTTATGGTATTTATAACGAACTAGTTCCTGGGGCGAATCTAAATCAACATTCACATCACATTGTAGGGGCCGGCTACATTTTCTATAACGTAAATCTAGCACCAAGCCAAGCGCTCAGTAAATGTAGCACCATCTGAGGCTCCGAAAGTGCGAATACAAGAACATCCCTGAGGGACTCATGTGGATGTCGGCAGCTCAGAGGAAAACGAACCAAACAGCGCTCAGCAGAGGAAACAGCGACTCACCGATGTTGAGAGAAATAGACTGGTATATCTCATTAATATCCCATGGAACATATATAAAAGATATACCAAGATGTTGAGAAATACAATATATATATATATAGAATTATGAATTATATGGTATATCCCATTAATATCCCATTGAATCACTATAAAAATCCCATTGAAATTGTACCAAACAAGAACCACACAATAACCACACATGCCATCGTACACTTTTCTACGAAGATCTCGATTTAAATCGTCTCTGAAGACCAGGGCCATGTAGGGCCATGTAGCGACCCGGTAGCCACGGCAGTGACACAAAGAAGCATTGGTCATGGATCAGAACTGGACCCTTTTTTAGGGGAAATGGATGTATCTTTGGGGAATACTTAAACTTTATAGCTCATATAGTTTAACTATGTTAAACTATAGGTATATAATGGTATATTTTGATTTCACTCCTAGCTTTGGGGTTGAACAAGGCAGATAAGTCATAGGATGGTCAACCGTGGATGGGTACTTGGATACTAGAAATGCGAGTGCGCCATAAATGGGGAGACCCCAAAATAGACACAGTAATCAGACACGTTTCAGACCTTGAAATGCATGGTAAATATCATCAACATGCTTATTTTTTGGTTGGTAAATATTATCTAAACATATCCCAAACATGCTGGTGGTTACCTGCTTGTGAGGACTTCAAAATCTGTGGGGCTCCTACAACCGGCGTGTAACCTACTGTCCTGCCACAAGGCACGTGAAGGGCGACAAGATCTTTGCCGGTGACCTACGAGAGTCCTTCCACATCTTCAAGTGCCCCCTCGTGGTTCAAGCTTTGCCATTAGATTTTCACCTGATTGACTATGCCATAATATACATTAATAATATACATTAATATACTATACTCATTATGCTCTCATTATGCTCCATCTATAGTATCTTTCTATCTATCTGGGTAAATTATAACGACCTCACTGTGACCTCACTGGAATCATGGTTAGTAAGGGAAATCATCCCCAAATGGCCTTAATTCAGGTTGGTGAATTAGTATAATTTACCCAGATCTATAGTATGTTTGACATTTGGATCATGGCTTGAATATTATTCCACGGAGCATATGGGACAGCTACACAAAGGTGAGTCCAGGAGGCTGCAAGGTGATGGAGTCAAATTCACCGAACTGTTCTTGGGAGGCTTTTTTAAAGTTGGAAACGTTGGTGATCTAGTTTTACTGCCATGGGTATAGTTTGGGTTTGGTGACACGGAAAGAATTCTTGGGTTTTACAGTTTTTTACCATATTGTTTTGGAATGTTTTGGACTTAGGAAGCTGTTAGCTTATTTCTTTCTAGGAGCTTGCAAAATGTCGACTCCAAGTCAGAACCATTGATGACTGTGACATAACGTGAAGGGTAGCAGTTTGATTTAAATTTGAGTTTTCATGTTCTCACCATTTTGTGAAACCAGAACTAATCAGGCATTTTATCAGCGCCTCGCATCGCCTAGCTCTTGAACGCCAGCGATCCAAAAACAAGAGCCCGTGAAAGGTACCGCCGCTCGGACAATCAGTTGTTCGTGCTCTCTGACGATCAAGCACCCAGATGGATGTGCGCGAGCCCGGACGGTTGGATCATCCAAAGGTGCTGATCGAAATGATCGAATGCTACAATGTGAGGCCCCCGTTGGATAGCGTTCAGTTGGTGCCAATAACTCCAATGTCACTATGGTTTATGGTATTTATAACGAACTAGTTCCTGGGGCGAATCTAAATCAACATTCACATCACAACGGGGGGCCTCACATTGTATCATTGGTTGGGGGTTTCCATGGTCATGGAGGTACCCAATGGATGGTTTATTTCATGGAAAATCCGAGACATGGATGACTGGGTACCCTAAATCCAGTGGTTTATCATCATTGTCCCCATTTTTTCATGGCCATTTGATGATTTTGATGGTCCCCGTTTTCATTCATCAGGCAAAGCCCTTCTTGGGAACCATGATTAACACCACAATGCGATGATTTATTGGAAGAAGCCACATGTCACATGGGATCAGAAGGTGGTGCAGATGGGTAAAATAATGCCATTTTTTACCACCCATGACTGCGAATGGTTTTTACATACCACCTATAAACATGGTGATGACTGGGGGATGGTGTGTGCAAATGGCATTGGGAATTACCCACATTTCTTCCCTTTCTAAGATCAAATACCCAGCCCTGTTTAAGCCTGATTTAGTACTATTGGTTGGTTGGTGCTTTGGAACCATGGAATTTTATGACTTTCCATTCAGTTGGGAATTTCATCATATTTCATCATCCCAAGTGACTTTCACTCCATCATTTTTCAGAGGGGTAGGTCAACCACCAACCAGTTGGCTTATTAAGGATCGATTCAATTTTGGTCCTATCTTGGGGGTATCAATCGCTGGAAATTTCAGGATTCGCTGGGCAGATCATGGCCCCGGTTTCGAAATCCTTCCGGGATCTATTGGATCTATGGTAACATGATGTTTTCGTCGCTTCAGGGAAATGTCATAGAAATGTCACATCCGATAGGATCCATGGTGCTGGTATATATGCTAACATTTGGGGTATATTAATGATATTAATGGTAAATGTTACCATATATGGCATACATGGATCCTATGGGTATATGATCGGTTGAAGGAACGACATCCATTGAAAATTCGCAGATTTTTTCGGTGAAGCCTGGGCCCTTTTGGAGGATGTTCGCAGATCTTCCACCAGCCTGGTGATAAATAATTTCAGGTTCAATCCCGATGCTGGACACATTTGGTCGATAAGACATGATAAAACCAAGCACTTATAGAATTATACCACGTGATGCGGATCAGTTTTTTTCAGTTTTTACATCAAAACATACTACAAAATCGCGCGAGAACGGATATTCAAGTTATATTATTCATAGTAGATTGTGTACCTTATTTATCCTTCTTTGTATATAATCATTGTATATTCATTAAAGAAAATCCATGGATTCGTCGTGAAAGTTTGTTCCCCTCCGACGCTGTTGGAGCCGATTGGGATGGGATCAGGACATGTGCCACAGTGCTGGACAGCATGACCATGGCAGGTGTGGGGCGGATTGTGAAGCCATTCGAAAAGGGGGTGTAACATCATTGGAATCATGTCTTAAACCATTCTTTTTTTGCAACTTGTTTGTTATTTTGAACAATACGGAACTTATAAACTTAGGATGAGTTTGAAAAGATAGGTTTGATTTTCGCAGCTATAAAGCTTTATTTATAGGGGTTGTCCATGGATTTGCCCTTGCTATGTTTGATTACCAGAGGGTATTTCTGAAAACTGAAGAGAATATTTGATCACGCTCTATTAAGGGCACGGGTTTTCTGGACGTGATTGAAATTGTTGGGGGTAAGATGGGTATTTCAGTCAAAAAATATGGTGGTTGGGACCGCTTCTCACACTGACTCCACAATTCGATGTTTCAAACCAAGAAACATGGGGTTGATAGTGAAACATGGGTTTGCTACAATCCAGTTTGGGAACGGCACCAATTGCGATTCAATTCGGGGTTTTGCTAAAGTGGGAGAATGTGGAAATATAAGATATATATATATATGATATACCCATTGCGGATGTACCCTTCAAAACCGTGTTTACCCAAATGGTCATGCATGTTTTCAATTTCATGAACAAAAAACGGATGCTGCTGATCATATTCAAGAAACACATAGTTGTACTATGTCAGTTTGGGAGGGATACAACTGCAGGGAATATACATATATATAATATACAATGTAGTTAATTCATTAATTCATTAAGCACTCATGAGTCACCAATGGTGGATACAGCTAATGTCTGATACAAAAAAGGCAATCGGCCATTGGTCAGTCATTTGCTGCTGGTCTTGGGATATCACCTGCCATTGGGTACCCCTAATTTTCCAAGTCATTTGACCTAATTTTAGTATTGAAACCTACGTTTTTTGGGGATTCCCCATGTAAAGAACTCCCCCAAAAAATATGCGAAAAAGAGATAACATTCTGGACACATGCAGCATTCATTTCCTTGGGTTTCCTTTGGATTTTCCACATCTACGATAAGTTGAACTCAGGGCAACTCAACGAACCAGCCCGTCTATGTACCTGTGAACAAGGAAAGTGAGATTTAAAACTGCAAAAAACGACTGTTTTAACCTGGTTGGTGGTTTGGAACATTTGTTTTTCAAGATTGTTTTTTCACCACCAACCAGTCATCCATATATTGGGAATCATCATCCCAACTGACGAACTCATATTTTTCAGAGGAAAATCTACAGGAAACCATGGCTTTCCCCATTAAATATGGGGCTTTCCTGTAAACCAATGACATGTTTCTTCCGCAGAATTTGAAACGCCGGCGCCTCGCCGTCCGCCCTGCAGGTGCCGATAAGTTCGACAACTTCTTCGTGTGCAGAATACCCGAAGAGGCGCTGTGAAAGAAAAAACTCGAGCCATGGTTAGAAGGTATCCAACATGGTTGGTTAGAAATTTTATGTTGGATCTAGCCAATTACGAAGGTATCCCATGGTTTAAGCAACAAAAGTGGTGAATTGACAAACAACAATGGTGTCATGGAGATATAATCTATTATAATCTGGATAAATGGTGCATCATTTTCCCACCTCGCCTTCCAAAAAGTGCATAAAGCGCTTGCAGAAACACAGACCCCTGGTGATACCTGGAGGCTATCATACACTCCCGGGATTTTACTGTTATATAGTGTTTCCACTTACCAACTACATGATGCATGATGTGGCTGATATCATTTTCTGTGAAAACTCATTCGTTGACCATTTGTCCGTAACTCGAAAGTTTGCTAACTCAACTGGATATTTATTTGATTCTTCATCCTTCCTTTTCTTTCTCAAAAACCCTTATTTGTGCTGGTGAACAGTCCTACTGTTGCTGGGTGAAGTCGCAGCATTTTGAGTAGATCAACCCATGACATCCCAGGCAGGATTCCCACGTCACCATGGGTTTCCATACCAAGTCATGGTCATCTATGACGACTAGTTTTGTTGTGTGGGTACCTCTTGAAAAACATCCATATGGATCTGAAATATCCAAATGATTAGTTTTAAGATGTTAAAAATTAGTTTACCTATGATGTTGTACCATTACGGCTATAGAATGCTATACATGTCTGTATGTATAGATATACATAGCCCCATTGTGAGTGCTTAAATGACTTTTTTTTTCGTTGTGATTGGTTCCCCATTCCCCACCTTTCTCCAGGCCAGAGACGATGAAGGCGCGCCCGCTTTTGTCGTCCTTGTGATGGCCATATGTTTTTTGTTTACGCAGTAGAAAGAACATCTCCATAGGATAACTATGGTTTATGGTAGATATATCATTATAAATATGGTTTATTCTCTATAGTTGAGGTTTTTAAGCAGCTAAGTTAGTTTATAACTTGGTTAACCAGGGTTTATGCTAGATATATCGAACTACTTAATGGGAGGGTTATAAATGTTATAAACCAACACACATCACCGGTGGGGGGCACGACCTTGTAATTCTTGATTATCCACAAAAAATGAGGTGAAATCCAAGATTTTATATCTCATATCTCCTCGTTGTTGTGGTGGTTATCCACTATGTCACTATGTTCTGTTGTTGGGTATATTATGGAGATAGTCGAGATAGTATTTATCACCACAAGTGGGGATGTTTGTGAATCAATCATGGGGAAGGGGAATTCATGGGATATTAGCCAAGAATACGACAAAAAACGATGTCAATTTATGGGATATAGGGGATATGTTATTATATAAACAACAAACACGGGGATGTACAACCAATGTACCCTCTGGTAATTTAACATAGCTATGGAAAATCACCATGTTTCATGGGAAAATCCACTATTTCAATGGCAATTTTCAATAGCAAACTGTTGACATAACCAGGCCGGGTACCCTTAAAGGAGCACAGACCCTGCCGGAAGTTGGGACTTCTACAGTAAGCTATGTTTGTTGTTGGGAGATGGAAACTCTAAGAGGAACACCTATGCAAATCGCAGCCAGAAATCTGTGATATTGTTTCGCCAACCAATTTATGGATCCTCTTTTTTTAGTTTCGCAATCCATATTCCTAGGAAGATAGATATTGCAATATCACAAGGATCCATCATCCCTCGCAGGTGGAGACCACACTGGCTTGCGCTTGAAGGTCGAGACCTTTTTTTTGACGTTCGTGAGATGAGTTATGATGAGTTGTTTTTTACGGGGTACTGACAATAAGAGACAGAAGAAATGTATATTTACCCACCTGTTTCAACATTTACCACCTAGGATTGTCCATTATGTTCCATTATAAACCATTCATTTCCAACATTTACCCTCTGGTTATTTAACATAGCCATGGTATAGATGGCCCATAGAAATAGATGGTTTACCGTTCTTGAACATGGTGGATCTTTCAATGGTACCATCAACAACCCAGGCTATTTCTCCCATTAATAGATGGGATGTTTTTAGGAAATACACCAGTCAAACGTTGGCTTGTTTCATCGCCCAGGCGATTTGTGGGGCCCGTGACCCAAAAAAAACATATTTAAACATATAAGATGTAGCAATTGGATGAAATATGATGAAATGGTACTGTTGATGGTTGCGAAATCCTGCACCAAACGGATGGTTAACACCCAAACAACTTATCATGGGATAATTCACCCATCAACTGGTGTTCCGCTGAAGATGTTCCCTGAAAATCAATGGACCCTATTAGGATTACTAATTGAATATACCATCTGGTTATGTCAAAATAGCTATTGAAAATGGCCATTCATAGTGAATTTCCCAGTAAAAATGGTGATTTTCCAATAGTTATGTGGCTGTTTACCAGAGGGTAATTGAATTATGATTGAGAAGTTGATTCGTGATTGTATCATGTTTGGGTCAATTAGTGATTGTGTCGGTTTACAGCTAGGCCAAGATTGGATTTATGGTGTATCTCTGGCTGTGTTATCAGCATGAAACCTCGGATTTTCCATATGTTTTTTCCATAAAAAAAAAACATCCACGAACACCCACATATTTACCGTGCTATGTTGACCAAGATTTACCGTGCCATTTGCCCACTTACATAAATTATCATAAATTTATATCATCCTTTTTCTGTAGTATGTTCAGCAATATTTTATTAAGCACTCTCCTAGAAGCCCTCATGGATATTGAACCCCACATGCAGCATTTACCACCTAGGATTGTCCATTCTGTTCCATTATAAACCATTCAGTTCCAACATTTACCCTCTGGTTATGACTAACATGGCCATGGTTTTTTGATGGCCCTAATCGAAATAGATGGTAAACACCTTTCTTAACACATGGTGGATCTTTCCATGGCAAACTGTTAGTCATAACCAGATGGTACCCATGTTGAAGCCACATTCTTCCAGGGATCCCAAGCGGCCCTGGTCTCCCGCCTTTTTCGAAGGCGGATACCGCTTACCTCACGGGCGCCACACCGAAGTTGGACAGCATCGTGCAGTTCCACGTGGGTCAGCTGGACCGAGGAATGGATGCGGAAGCCAAATCACAAGTGATTTAACCAATAAAGAAGCAGGGATTCATGTGTATATAGTACCCATAGGATCCATGTATGGTATATATGCTAACATTGGGGGTATATTGATGGTAAATGTTACCATATATGGCATACATGGATCCTATGGGTTATGTACATTGTCATACATTTATATGGACCAATCAAACATGTGATTGAAGGAATACACATGGTGATCCAACCAACAAAAAGTGCTGATTTAACCAATAAAAATGTGATTTAACCAATCACACTGCGGATATATATATATATATACACACCAAATTATATAATGATATATATATATATATACATAATGATATATATAATGATATATATATATATATATACATATGTTTGTTTATGTTGCAATTGGAACGGAATGGGATGTTAAGTAGCAAAGGGGATAGAATGGGCTATAATGGTTGACCTAATTACTAAAAAATGCGATTTCACCAAGAAACATTCATTAGATTTGCAAACATGAAGATATAAGCAAAGCAGGAGGGATTCAGCATCAAACATAGGGACTCAATTGGACATACTTTAATGAAACAAAAATGGGGATGTAACGGGATATGATCTAATGATAATGTCAAGCCCATCGATGTAACGGATATGCCTTGGAAATTTGGTGAGCTATAGGGCGGCGTCATGGCGTTGATGTTTTGGAGATCTAAGATGGAGGATTTTTTCCGGCAATTTTTAAGGAGATCTAACAGGAATAGAATAGGAATGTTGTGTCATATCCTTTAATAGATCTATATATAGATCTAATAAGAATATCCTATACTATACCATACTATACCATACTATACCTATGTTTCACTATTTAAAATAGAGGACTATTTCGTGGGGATCGCCACTCGCCGTCATATCTGGAAGAATTTCCCAGCCATTGGGGATGATCTGCTCGGATCGCAACATGATCGCAACTGGTTGGTGGTTTCAACCCATTAAAAGCTATTCCCATGACGGATCCATGTATGGTATATATGCTAACATGACTGGGGTATATTGATGGTAAAATATGGTAAATGTTACCATATATAGCATACATGGATCCGTCATGGGATTGAAAATGGCCATAAAAATAGTGGATGTACCCATTAAACATGAATTTCATAACTGGTTGGTGGTTTCAACCTACCCCAGTATTCAATGGGATTTATAATGATTTCATGGGACTTAAAAAAAGTGATTCAATGGGATATTCATGGGATATACCCTCTGGTAAACATTCACAGTTTGCTATTGAACATGGCCCAGTCGAAATAGTTAAAATTTACCCAGCCAGAAAATGGTGGATCTTTCCATATAGTTATGTGGCTGTTTACCAGAGGGTATATATATATATAGACTGAGGTACAGGGAACATGTGGGAACTTTTATTAATTATATATAGTTACCCATAGGATCCATGTATGCTATATATGGTAACATTTACCATCAATATACCCCACATGTTAGCATATAAACCATACATGGATCCTATGGGTTATATAGAGGTGGTTGGTGCGTGGTTTCCAAGTCGCTGAACTACGATGAAAGTCATTGGGATTGTTCATCATTTCTCTGGGAAATCAACCATGAAATAACCAACGATAAGAAGCAGTTTCAAAAATCTACAGATTGTACTCATTGACTATGAATGAAGCAACAAACCATATGACCTTGATGATTCCACTACAAACCAAAATTGTTGAAGCCAACCAAATGATTCTTGGTTCGATACTTTAACACTGGTTCCCACATGTTCTCAGAATTTGCCAAACATCTCCCAGTGTTTTCTCCGATTTTTCATCAGAAATTATATAGATTTGCTTCCAAAGTCATGGGTGTTACCCTCTGGTAAACTAACATAGCTATGGAAAGATCCACCATTTTTAATGGAAAAATCCACTATAAATGGCCATTTTCAATAGCTATTTTGACATAACCAGAGGGTACCCCCGAAGTCATCCATTTTTCAGCGGAAAAAACCAGCACCCAGGTGACACCGTCACAGCGCTGGAAAAGACCACCCTAGCGCAGGGAGGCGGGAGATTTCGACAACAAACCAGGCCTATGATGCACCGGAAATGGCCCATTCAGAGGTGAATTTAGATGGTTATTATTGATGTTTATGGATGTTTGTTGATGTTTATTGATGTTTATGGATGTTTATTGATGTTTATTTACCTGTTCAATGGTAATCTTTTCAGATTTGCTATGGAACATGGATGGATACATTTGGCCCATGGATACACGGATGATGAAGCCACGGATGGTGAATTTTTGGGACCTGGGAAACAACGAGTTGTGATACCCGGCCCATTGAACTTGAAGCCATGGCCATTGAAATAGTTGATTAATACCCATAAAAAAGTGCTGGTTTTCCATAGTTATGTGGTTGTTTACCAGTATCAGAAAGAAAAATGGGCATATCATCAGCAAAAGTTCTGCTTAAGAATCAAACTCTTCAGTTTTTTCTGGCCCCTTCCCAGCCCCTTCCGAAGAGTACTGTGCTGGTGGACATTAGCCACGAATCTATACACTATAGTTTCGTTGTGCAGACAGAATGCGACCTGAACTATTAGTAATAACTATAACCCTTATAAATAGAAGAATTAGACATAATTAGACCTGAATGTAAATCATGAGATAGAGAGTCCAACACCCATTCTAGCAGCCCTCAAAAACCAACCTATATAGGAGCTCCCCTGACCTCCAAGGTCTTGAATAGTTGACCCATGTTGACCCGGAACGTAGGACCTTTTTGAGGTGTCCCATCGAGCGTGTTGATGACATGGTGATACATGGTGTAGAGGGTCAGATTTATGGAAGAAACATATCCATTATGGTGTTCTTATATCTGCTTTGGGATTTCAACCTTTTCAACCATGCTTGGGATGGTTTTGATGACTGTATGATAATGTTTGGATGGGTTAAAACCACCATCCATCACCATCCAGTGCTGAATTACCACGAATTACCCACTTCCACTTAGGGCATAGCCGCAGGGTCCGTAGGGCATCGGTCCCTCGATTTTTGGACAGTATCCTCTGGCCCAACGGACTTGGAAGTGGTGTTGAAGTATGTTCAGATATGGAGGTTTCCATAGAGGTGGCTACCCCAATAGCTGGATGGTTTAATGGAACATCCGAGCTATAAAATGGATGATGACTGGGGGTACCCCCATGACTTTGGAAACTTCCATATGTTCATAGTCAGATGATTGTCTAAGACCCCATTGCACATAAGAGTTTGGAACCTCCAAGTCGTTTTTTTCATGCCACTGGGTAGCCCCCAGTCACTGTGAACCGCGACACCAACGAAAACCCCAAGGGTGAACCGCGCTCAGGAAGTGAGTTGATTTGCTACTCCACTCTCTTAGGCGACTTTACTGCGAGATCGTGGCGACACCAAATCATCATATTTTGGTACTTTTACTACAATGTGAGGCCCCCAAGATAGCTAAGTTGGTTCATAACTCCAATAACTATGGTTTATGGTAGTTATAACTATAGTTACTGGGGCTTATAAACCAACAAACATCACTGGGGGGCCTCACATTGTATGTTTTGGTGGTATTTAAGGAGGGTTACTAGGTAGTACGATATTCCAAATAGGATACTTTTCATGGGATATTCCGAATGCCTGTCATTTCAGAACAATCGGAGGGTTGTGTCAAACCTTGACACCTTGATCCACAATGAGTCCCAGAACAGCAGATTACTGTCTGTAAGTTTACCCTCTGGTAATTTGTTACATAGCTATTGAAAATGGCCATAGAAGTAGTGGATTTTCCCATTAAAACTGGTGGATCTTTCCATAGTTATGTTAGTTTACCAGAGGGTATATGTCTCCTTTGGTGACCCATTAAAAACACCCCATGGCAATAGATTGGCAATAGATATGTCATTTCCCACTACTCTTCTATACCATTATCATTATATCCCCATGAGGTCAATCTTGGATGGGTAGTTTAATCCTTTAGTCTTCTGGTATCAATGGGATTATCTACTAAGCAGCTAAGAGTTTTTTCTTTTTGCAGGGTATCTAAGATTGGCCATGATGAAACATACCATCATTGTGGTTGGTCAACATCCCATGAATTTATCTGTTCATTGCATTTTCACTCCCACATTAATATCATGTCAAAATATATCATCCATTGTTTTGTACAAAAGTTGTTAATCCCAATTGTGTTACTGGTTGGTGGTTTCAAACATGTTTTATTTTCCATTTCATATAATGGGTTGTCATCCTTCCCACTGACGAACTCCATCATTTTTCAAGATGGTTAAGTCACCACCAACCAGATATTATGTGACACTTATTATTGTTGTTAAGGTTGTTAATACCAGTGTTGTCATTATCATTGTTGTATGTTATTGTGGTTAAATTCATCCATGATCAAGTTGGGGGGCAGTCCACTAAACTAAACCCCCCCCTGATTCCCATGATATCACCGTTGAACGCTTAGGTTGCTGATGAATCCCCATGAATTTAAGTTGCCTCATTTTTTTTTCACATGAAAATATCAAGTTGGTTATATAATGTTATATAGTGATACACATAATATGTGTATACTGATATATATATATATACGTATATATATATATATCTACTGATTGGTGGATTGGAACATTAATTTTATGACTTTCCATTCAGTTGGGAATTTCATAAATCCCAATTGACGAACTCATTTTTTTCAGAGGGGTTGGTATACCACCAACCAGTGTATATATATATACACCATTATATACCCTCTGGCAAATTTAACATAGCTATTGAAAATGGCCATAGAAGTAGTGGATTTACCCATTAAAAATGGTGGATCTTTCCCTAGTTATGTTAGTTTACCAGAGGGTGTATATATATATAGATATAGATATAGATAAATATATATATATGTATATGTATATATGTCCCACTATTATACCCCATGTTTCATCCCCCCGTGATTCCCCATGCGCTGCTCATAACTCATCCCGTGATTCAGGTGCCATTGGAGCCTTCTATCCTTTCGCCGGCAAGGATGAGGTGCAGCATTTTGTTTAAATAGGCGTACCATATGATGATAGCACCACCAAATATGTATAGAAATGCACAGTTCTATAAAAACATCCTCATAAAATAGTGATAATGTTTCTACTTTTTGCACAGTTCTATAACATCCTAATAAAATAGTGACTCTACTTTTTCTGTTTTTTTTTTTTTTTTCTAGGTTATCATAAAATATGAATGGGATATGAATGGGACACTCAGCCACAGATTTGATGGGATACCTGGAGCGGAAAATCCAACACCAAAATCCAGGAACTCGGAGGTTTTCCTGGTGAAGATCTACTGATTCTACTTTCATGGCCATTTTCCACTGTGTAAACGATGTTCCAGGATGATATGTTATTCAATAACTGTGATTATGACATATTTATAAATATTTGGTTAAAAAATCAATGGTGAAATAATAAAGATCAAACGGATAAAATAAAATGTGGAGGATCTACTCTCCAAGATCACGAAAAGCAAGGGATACAGCCGCCAATCTCAAGCCAGAATCAAATAGATACCATGTACATATATATTAATCAAAGATTAACACATATATGGAACACCCACATGTTTGTAGATCATATTCCTTGGATGTCTCGATATATTATATATATATATACATATCCAAAATTAGTTAGATGATATAATATCCAAATAGGTATATATATATATATACACACATATTTATCCAGTTCAGGAAAGCTTCCAATATTCTCCAGCCGAAGATTGTTGAGATGCTATTTTTTGTCCTTGTGATGACCAGAAATTTGCAGATCAGCAGCCCATGGTCGGATCTGCCGGATCCATGGTGAACAAGTCCAGGAGAAACAGAGACACGAATCAGAATTTATAGTTCCCTTTGAAACTGGACTTTCATGGCGGATTTTCTAGATTTTCTATGTATATCATTATATATATATATACATGCATGCAGATTTTGGTCACAGCAGGGCTGGATAAATAGAGTTCCCAGTAGAATATGTCATATAATCGTGTATCTAAATTAGTTTATTACAGTAGGATTACCATACATCCTTTCCACATTGAATAGAATATATGTGTATCATTGTCCTACTCATATATCTATAGATGGGATAGATTAACAACCATATATCATAACATGTCACATATAATATACTTGTATCTCTATAGATGTATCATATACGATACCTGAATGCTCCGTGTATGAAATATTTACCAACATTTACCCCCAAAATGACATAATATGACACTGTCGGTACATATTCCAGCACCATGGAGCATATGGCATGATATCATATATCATATATCATATATCATATATCATATATATATATATAATTATATATATATATCATAGTATAATATGGCATGGCACATGACTGCAGCCTGTCAGTTGGATTTCTTCCAGCACCTGGAGATGTTTGTGCGGGCAGAGAAGCCGCCGCTCTGCGGCCGCGATCACATCATGTGACCCGCGCGTTTGGTGGTCCGGGATGATCCGACAGGCTTCCTAAATCATGGGGGATCCCCATAGCTGGATGTTTTTTTGGGGTACCCCCATGACTTAGGAAACCTCCATATCATATGGATTTATAGCCAAACATGCTGATTTTACCATGAAACATGGTGATGTTTCACCAACAAAAATGCTGATTCTACCATGAAACAGGATGAACAATATCTATTTGTCCTTAAGAATTGTGATTTTTGGTCTGTATTGGCTGTGTCCCGAAAGGGTGGAGGCAAACCCCGCAGACAGCAACGAAAATTGGTGGTTTTAACATGTTTGAACTATGGGATGGAACAGGATAGTCCTTGAGTTTGAGCCATGACATCCCCATTTCAATTGGTTGAATTTCCTGTGGAATCATGCGGAATTCCGTGAAGATCTAGCCTCTGGTTATGACCAACATAGCCATGGTATAGATGGCCCTAATCGAAATAGATGGTTTACCTATTAAAAATGGTGGATCTTTCCATGGCTATGTTAAATAACCAGATGGTAAATCCACTTACATTTTGGTACATTTCATGGGTTTAGCCCCGATCACGGATTCTCCTGGAAGTATGAACTTGGTTGTATAGTTTTAAATAAACTACTGTATGACCTGTATGAAAGCAAGTTCTGTTTAAGGACACCATCCAGTTACTTGTCATATAGATCATCACTAGGGCCTTGGGCTCTGTGGGAATCAGTTGGGGATGGGAGTTTTCAAGTCATTGACTCCAAAAAAAGAGCATGTTGTAAATTCTTACACGGATCTCTTGGAACTATAGTTATCTATAGTTTACTTTATGATATAGATTATTGACATCTTTATTTTTGATATGATGTGACTATGTGTAATCTCTTGAAACGCAATGATCGTTGGTATCTTTCTAATTCGTTGTAGAATTTTGCGAGTCGACAAGGAATCCTATGGAGACGTTGCATTGGTCAAGTTACTGATTTACTGGACGTTTCACCAAGGGGGTTTCCATAAATGGGTGTACCCCAATAGCTAGGTGGTTTACAGTGAACAATCCTAGCTATAAAAGGATGATGACTGGGGGTACCCCCATGACTTAGGAAACCCCCGTATAGATCTATAGAGTTCTAGTTTTTGTTGGAGAAAAATGTTGGGTTATGTGGGTTAAACTAATTAATCTCTCCAATTCATCTGTTGGTTTTCACAGATCTGTGCTGGAAGGTACCGGTCCTATCACTTTCCCGTCCAGAATTGTGCGGAGACCCATGGCCCATGGTGCAGTTCCACCTTGAAAAATCCCTATCTCAAGGCCTTTTTGATCATGACGTGTCATGACCATGCTGGATTCCATGCCGGAAATCAATCAAGAATCATCGGACTTCTGCTTGGTGGTGACTGGAACCATGGACTTTTATGACTTTCCAGAAACAGTTGGGAATGTCATCGGGCCCCAACTGACGAAGTCATATTCAGAGGGATAGGGCTCAAAACCACCAACCAGTCTTTATCGCTGGGTTTTTGAGGAAATTTTGGGGTTTCATGGCAATAACGGCAATAACCCCATCATATCCCCACTATCGGCCCTGTTACAACCCCATCATAAACCCAAATATCACCTCAGCTGTAACCTTCTTAGAAACACATTAGAAACATCTTTTCTCACCAGAGTTTTTAAAGCCTTGAAGTCAGTTACTTTCAACGTTTTTATCATTCTGCAAATGGGTTATACTTTGGATTGCAAGCAACTTATATATAACCTCAATCAGAAAACTGTTTTTGTCACAATTTAGATAGATGTAAAACTCCATTTCTGGAATATCTCCAGATACCCTCTGGTAAACATACAAAAAGCGACATGGAAAACGGCCCAGTCGAAATAGTTGATTTACCCATTCATAGCATGGTGGATCTTTCCAGTTCGTTTTCTGTCAACGTTTACCAGGCCGGCTAAACCTCCTATAATTTTTCCTATGGGATTTTCCGGTTGGTTTTCCCATGTTCCTATGGTCATAGAATTGGATGATGGGAAAATTTACAGGAAACCCCTATATTTGATGGTAAAAACCATGGTTTCCTGTAGATTTTCCCTTAAGCCAATCCATTTTCCTATGGAAAAATCCACCATTTTTTCCCATGGGAAAATATCTCCAGATCTCGTCCAGATCTCCGAGGTGTGGATGGCGATTTGTGCGAGCAGTTCATGACGCTCACGGCGGAGAAGTTCCTTGGCTTTCCCAAGGAAATGGTGGGAGTTTTCGATGGAGTTTTTGGGAGTTTTAGCCCAGAAATTCATGGTGACATAGCCCAGAAAATGACAAAATGATTTCCGTTGAATTGCCAGAAACAAAGTTATTTTCCCATTCATCCTAGTCTCAATATAGTCCATCTAGTCCTACTATAGTAGGTTTTTCTATGATGTAATATTCCAATTGAAGCAAATGGATATGTCTGATCCAAAATAAAACCAAACTTACTGGTGCTAAACGTAGGGAATGAGGGAATGATCCATAATCACTAATCATCCCAGCAACCCCAGGGAATGATCCATAATCACTAATAATCATCCCAGCAACCCCCAGCAACTGATCCATTCCCTGCGTTTAGCACCAGTAAGACGACAAAATGGAAGAAAACGACATGAAACATGGAGGAATATGCCCAGATTAATGTGTGAAATGGAAGAAAAGACATCAACAAAAAGTAAAATGGAGGAAAATGCCCAGTTTGAATGGAAAGAGATGGAAAACCGAGCGAGAAACCATGGAGATGATGGACTATCCCTGTGCCATAAAATTGGCTTGTCCTATGGTTTTGAACAAATTATTGCTGCTTTGTTGCACCAGCTGCACCATACAATATATATGTGCTGTGGTTCCTTGAATGGTTTGTGCATGTTTGTGCATTTATGATAGCCATCCATTTGAAACACTGTGAGTCCTAGGCTCGTGTTGACGTATACTATGTTGGTTTGTTAGCATCACCCTTTCTTGTCAGTCAAATCCTGTTTGTAGGCGAAATCCCATTCGTTATTGCCTACATCCATTTGATTATGTTTGGTAAAATTCTAGTTTTGGATCACTTGGATGTGCCTAGAAATGAGGCACGTCCGTGGAGAACATTGTCAAAGAAGTGGATTTGATGTATATATATTTTTTTTGTTGGGCTAACCCATATCAAATGTATGTCTTGGCCTATATGTCCGTGTATATACCCTCTGGTAAACTAACATAGCTATGGAAAATGGCCCATAGAAATAGATGGTTTACCTATTAAACATGGTGATTTTCTATAGCTATGCAACAAATAACCAGAGGGTATATCCCATTAATATCCCATTGAATCACTATAAAGTCCCATTAAATCATGATTTTCAGAGGGGTAGGTCAACCACCAACCAGTTGTGTATATAAACATATCCCAGTCTCATATGACCCTAGCATGGTTGGTATAATCCTCCATGGATGATCCAAACAAGGCATCGAATCACATCCATACATCTCCCATGTTTGTTGAACACACAAAACCTGTAGGTTGGTTTTAAATACCGATCTATACCCATCATATACCATATAAACCCCTATAAATATAACTCAATATAAATCTCCACAATTCCACATATATATATATATATATATATCACATATATATATATATCATATATATATATATATCATATATATATATATATATATCATATATATACATATATATGTCATATATATATATCATATATATATAACAACAACAACAACAACAACAACAACAACAACAACAACACAACAACAACAACAAACAACGATAACGACAACGACAACGACAACGACAACGACAACAACAACAACAACAAGAACAACCACAACCACAACCACAACCACAACCCCAACCACAACCACAACCGCAACCGCAACCGCAACCACCAACCACCAACCACCAACCACCAACCACCAACCACCAACCACCAACCACCAACCACCAACCACCAACCACCAACCACAACCACCAACCACAACCACCAACCACAACAACAACCAACACCAACCAACCAACCAAGCAACCAACCAACCAACAAACCAAGCAACCAACCAACCAGCCAACCAACCAACCAACTAACTAACCAACCAACCAACCATCCATCCATCCATCCATCCATCCAACCACAACAACACCAACAACACCAACAACAGCAACAACAACAACAACAACACCATGCAAATCAGAGAGCTTAGCTGCAAAACGCTGCAAATACCAATCAAAACCATCAAACCCCCAAAAACGGGAAAACATAAAAAAAAACGGGAAAAAAATCCAAAAAAAAAATGCAATCCTATATATATATCCAAATAATATGATCAGATTTCCCCTCTAGTTATCCCTATAGTTACCCTCCTTTTTTTTTCTTCATCTTCCGTCGGCTTCGGCTTCGCAGAATCAGGCAGCGGCTCATCGCCAGTGAACTGGACCGAACGCCGGCGGAGATCATTAAGAAATTGGAGGACGACGCAGCGTTCCAGTCAGGTGAAGAAATGCCATGAAGAATGGTGATGGTGATGGTGAATCTTATGGTGATTTTTTGATGGTTACCCTCTGGTAAATAAACATAGACCCTGAAAATCACCAATTTTTAATGGAAACTAGTCTTCCAACCCGTATCTGCCAGGGTCTATGTTAATTTACCAGAGGGTAATAAGGTTAATATGAAGAACATGGGGATTGATCAAGCGACAAACAGGCATTTACGTGTCTTTTTTTCAAGGAAATTGATGGTGCTTTGGCCTACAAAGATGCTATGGTGATCTCATGGGCATCGTGGGCAATGCCCAATAGCAAGCTACTGGGGTTTGTGGATGCTCGAAATCCCCAATGGCAACAGCCATGGGGTCAAATCATCCAAGTGTCAAGAGATGCTGATGTCTGGAGTTGGTGACTTTTCCGAGGGTTTTTTTCTGGCTTCCTAGCGATGTGAACAACGTTTCAGTTGCCTGTGATGTTGCTGCCGTTGCTGAGAAATTGGGTGATGTTCTATGATTTTCTATCATTCAAGTCTTGGGGATATCCCCAGGGCTACAAAAAAGACCCCTATTTACAAGAACAGTTCTGATGATCCTCACCAATCCTCATAAAACCTCAGCACCCATTGATGACCTGGTTGGTGAATCAGCTGGCCAGAGGTATAGCTTACTTACAGCATACGAGTATATTAATATACATTTAATATTATATATATAATGTTTTAATTATACTATCCACTATTGAACAAACGTTGAGTCACGACAGTTGGGGTGCCCAGGACATGCGAAATCGTCTCATCTGAGCCTGGTGCGTGGCTTCAAACTGCGTGAGAAACATCACACTTTCATGATACAGGATGGATCCAATCTTGAGCTAACCCAACATCAACATCAAGTGCATAGATATAGATGACTCTGATTCATTTGATATAGATGGCATGATTTCCAATCCAAAACTCAATGGCTTGCACTGAAAGCTTGAGGTTTGCTGCAAACTCAACAGAGCTAATTATCACGATTGCACACTGCATTTTGGTACCATGGCAACAGCAAGCGCACGTCGGCAGCATGGGAGTTGGCGCATCGTGACGTCGTCGACCGTTATGAATGCGCGCCAAAAAGTGTTGGTGAGATCTGCGTGGGATCCATCAACTGGGCTGTTCATCTATGTAGAACAGTATCATACATTACCCTCTGGTAATTTAACATAGCTATTGAAAATGACCATTTATAGTGGATTTACCCATTGAACATGGTGATTTTCCATAGTTATGTTAGTTTACCAGAGGGTAATTAAAGCCACCCCAAAAAAGCATCAGGGATTCTGATTGGTATATTCGGGTACATTACAAAGACACACAATTAGTAATTAGTATGACATCAATAGGTATAGTAAGGGCCTATGTTGACATATTTGCCTAAATGCTTTTAAAACCACCAAAAAAAAACATATGGGATTCTTAGTAGTTTTCCGGTTGTAACCACATCTTCTGTGCATATTGTTTGAGCCCCCAAATGCATGCAATATATTGTTCCTTCTTAAAAGATCATAAATATCCTTGCGTGCCGGCCCCCGTGCGGAACACGCGTGCCTTTTCGCAGAGTTCTGCGTGCTGCGTGCCGGGGCGCCTAAGATGATATATATATATATAATATACATATATATATATATATGTATTTATCACTGTGTTATATTAATCTATGTTAATCTATAATATGTATATACATGGTATTTTCACCATACCAGATTATATTACAACTATTTGTGGGAAGAATGCCCTGCTGCTTAGTGACTAAGGCCTAGTGGTTTCTGAAAAACTCTTCGAATCCACACTGCCTGGAGATGTACGAATCGAAGTCGGAAAAATCACCTGGTTGATGTTAGGCTGTTCCCCAGCCAAATAGCGTTCATTGTCAACTTAAATGATTAATGGTTTGTATAGATATAGAATATATAGATTAATATATGGATAATCTATGAAAACTGCTTAAGTACCATTTAGTTGATTTAGCGATCAATTATGATAATTGTCTCCTTAAATGAGCAGTCCAGTGGTGACTTTTTATCCGGGGTTGACATTGTATATGATCATCTATGATCTAATTGTGTATTTTGTATGGACTAGAACACATGCAACCAGCTTGAGGCTAAAGCCAACAAGAGAATCGTGGATTTGTTTAGGTATCCTAGGAGCTTCAGGAAAATAACGGTGTGTCCATTCAAAAAATCAAACCATGTAGTAGTACGGCTTTCTGGGAGGCCTGTGTGCATGTTTTGTTACCTACAAATCAAAAGCTTTTTTGGATTTAGTATTGGGGTGACCCATAGGGGGATGTTTATGTAATATTGGGGGATTTGATTAGTTCTTCAGTTTTGGTATATCAACATTATCCAGTTTTAGCATGTTTTAGCAGAGCGCAGCTAAGTTTGCAATTTTTGTAGGTGCTTTCTGCTAAAACTGCACGGTGGTGTGGTTTCATTCTCCATTGCACTCACCCTGCTAAGATCTTTGTCAAGAACTGTTCGACCATAGTCTCCAGGTTGTTTCAAAATAGTTTTGGATGGTCTTGTCACCCTCTGTTGTTCTTTACTGACAGCACTATGTTCCTACAGATGGGAACTCAGCGTCACCAATGGATGATGCCAAACAGGCGAAATCATATGAAATTATCGACAAACAGAACATGTTCCATTGCCATTTTTGATTGCCAAAGACTAGCTTTAGTTTTTATATAATAACATTTGATACTCAAATAGCAAGCATTCACGAGTTGTGATGCTCATTGTAATCCTCATAATAAGTTTTTTCCCAAAACAGTGTGTCCACACTGAGGGGTTCTTACTGTAGGTGTAAAGGCCGGTGCTTGATCAGGGTGCTCCATCTGGGCTGCGGCACTTTTTCCTATAAATTTCCGTATAAAGTGGCTCTTGTGAAATGTCCAAGTGCAGTTCGCGCCCGCAGGCTCGCACAAAATATGTGTCCGCGTTCTGGGCTCACTGTGGGCCCCAGCATTTTCCCTGTAAATTTCCGTATAAAGTGGCTCTTGTGAAATGTCCACGTGTATTTCGACTGCGCAGGCTCGCACACAGTGTGGGCCGCGGTCTTGGGATCCTTCGGGGTCTGCGGCATTTTACCTGTAAATTCTCGCATAAAATGGCTCTGGAGACATGTCCAAGTGCATTTCAACTGCGCAGGCTTGAACTAAACGGTTGTCGCGGTCTTGGGATCGGTCCTCCTCCTCCATCATCATCCTCAACATCATCATCTTCCTCCCCCTCCACATCATCATTCTCAAAATCATCATCATCATCATCCTTCTCAACATCCTCCTCCTCCACATCATCATCCTCCACCTCCTCTTCCGCAGCATCATCATCCTCCACTTGCTCTTCCGCCACATTATCTGAACCAGCAAAAACGAGAAGATTTACCATGATTTACCAAGAAATTTACACTAGCGCAGCAGCGCGCAGCACCCCCCAAAAAGCGAACTGTAGAAGGGCCAAATCCAATCCCAAAGTCCTGATTCAAGCCTACAATCGCGATTCCCACAAAAGAGATTGAACGAACACAGTAGAATCGAATCCTAAAACAGTGATTTCCTGGTTGGTGGTTTCAAACATTTTTTCTTTTTCCATAATATAAATAGGAATAATCATCCCAACTGACGAACTCATATTTTTCAGAGGGGTAAGTCAACCATAAAAAACCAGGTGATTTCATGATTTCTGAAGTGATTCAGATGGCCTTTTCACCAATTTTTTGGTTCCCAGTGACCCATGGTGGTCCTCGGTCCTGGCCGACCGGTGCGACCGGCGCGATGCGGCGGAGGGCATCGAGGAGGCGCCTCAGAAAAATTGATCCCCACTTTTTATGCTCAAAGATACGACATTTTGGGGTAAAACATGGTAAAACGTGGTAGAAAATACCGCAATTCATGGGATTCATAGGGGTATCATGGTGTAAAAATTGGAATTTTATATATAGAATGAATTAGAATGATTGGTACTTAAGGAGGATCTATAGGTAGAATATGGTAGAATGATAAAAACATTGATAAACCATGGAACATGTTTTTTTTTTGTGTGGTTCAAATTTTGAGACATGAACTGGAAAGTGACCACTGAAATTAGTGGATGTTCATCGTGTATTTTTGTCCGAAACGCATCATGTTCTTGATTCCCAGGGAGTTTGATCACAACGGAGTAGCTGGTTACCTTGGTCTGTGAAACAAAAGGGGAATCCTTACAAAAGTGGGTTTCTGGGAATCAGTCTGATAAATATAAAGGGATAATTGATGATAATTATTAATGAACAAAATGCCGAGAATTTCACCAAACCCAATTAGTGGGGAAATAGTATGTGTGTATACAAAATGACCATTTTAGTAAACAAAATGATGATAACACATTGCATTTGGAGGTACCCTATGTTCGGACAAACCCAAGTACTTTCAATGAAAAACAAAGTGAACCAACCCCAACCTCCCATTTTAACCATTTGCAACAAGATTGTGACGTACGTTTCCGGCTTACTTGTGAGCCAACCATGTTCTTTTGCAAGGAGTGTCCCATTTTGGGAACCACAAGTATTAAATGTGCAGATGTCAAGACTGGGGTCGTTCATGGTCGTTGATTTATTTAGTGTGGTTTGTGATTTGTATCATGTTGTAACCCTGTAGCATTGAACAAAATGCACCAAAAGTGGGTCAAACTCTTACCGTATTGGTTTCATCACAATGGCCTTCCGCAACACAATGGAACAACATGTGTTGCTCGTTTGAAAAACCACTAATTGTGGGATGGTTTTCCAAGGGCACCGATTTTTCATCTCTATCCTGGAATCTCTCTTGAACTTTCAGCATCATCCCAGTCAAGTATAGCTAGATTGGATAGCCTCAGCCATATTTTGGCCTCACCCATCAGGCTTGAGTTTCTTGTACCTCCCAAACTTGGATATTTTACATATTTTGGTTGGTTGGTGGTTTGGAACATTTTTTATTTTTCGATATATTGGGAATAACCATCCCAACTGACTTTCATATTTTTCAGAGGGGGTGAAACCACCAACCAGTTTTGTTATATTTGAGTCTCCAATGGACTTTCCATGGTAGTTTCTACCTACAGCAACCTTCGAAAAGATGAACACGTTGGACACCTGAACAATTTCAGGCAGGGAAACACTCCCGGGCAAACATGGGTGCGTCTGGCACTCGGGATATCATTGATATCACACCGAAAACTGCGGTGTGGGTAAAACAATAATAAATCATCCTCCAAATCATCATTTTTATAGGTGGTATAAACGATTCCAAAATGGTTGAATGGGTGGTTTAAGGCATTGTTTTACCCACATACGACGTACTTGTTTGTTGTTTGGTGGACTCCCAAGTTCAGTCACAGCCAGTCGCTGTTCTAATCGTCCTCAAAAGTGTTTGTTGTTTGTTGATGGACTCCCATGCCGCAGGCGTGACCAGCCATGCAAAAGGCGCTGCTGGCATGGAGTTCAGTTCAACAAGTAGAAATCTGGAGAAATTGTAAAGACTCCATCGACTCCATCCAGGATGGTTAGGATTTGGGAAACCCATCCCAAAAGTCCATTTCAGTGTGGGCATGAGTTCATTTCGCCCAGAATTTTTTTTTGACAGCCAAACTTGGGTGTCAATCAGTGGGTCTAAAGCCGAGAAGTCACCCTTTTTGACCGACCCAGACCCGGACCCAAGTGAAGTTGCTGATGGCGTACCCCAAATATTGGATTTCCTTCTGGCAATAGACTGTTTTGCCGCATTTTTGGGGTCACTTGGGGTTCGCCTTCTTTGTTTCTTGGATTTTTTGGATGTTTGCATC